CGTTGTGCTATCAAATAGCAGATATTATCTATTTTTTCTAAATATTTATTTGTACTCATTAACTATCCCCACTTCCCCTCCACCACCCACCTACCACCCTTCCCAGCCTTGGTAACCATTGTTCCTCTCTTGACTTCTGTAAATTCAATTGTTTTAATTTTCAGCTCCCCAAATAAGTTAAAATATGTGAAGTTTGTCCTTCTGTGCCTGGTATATTTCACTTAATATAATGTTATTCAATTCCATCTATGCTGTTTTGAAATGACAAAATCTCATTCTTTTTTATGGCTAAGTAATACTCCATTATGTATATGTACCACATATTCTGTGTTTATTCATCTTTTGATGGACATTTGGCTTGCTTCCAAATCTTGGCTATTGTGAATAGTGCTGCAATAAACATGGGAATGCAGATATATCTTTGATTTGCTTTCTTTTGGGTACATACCTAGCAGTAGGATTGTTGAATTGTACGATAATTCTATTTTTAGTTTTTTGAAGAAGCTCCATATTGTTCTCCATACTGACTATACTAATTTACATTTACATGAATAGTGTAAGAGGGTGCCCATTTTTCACATCCTCATCTACATTTTTGTTGTCTGTCTTACTGGGATGAGATGATATCTCATTATAGTTTGGATTTGCATTGCTTTGATGATCAGTGATTTTGAGTACATTTTCATATGCCTGTTTGCCATTTGTATGCTTTCTGAGAAATGTCTATTCAGGTCTTTTGCTCATTTTCATCAGATTATTAGATTTTTTTCCTATTGTTTGAGATTCTTATATAACCTTGCTATTAATCCCTTGTCAAATGGATAGTTTGCCAATATTTTGTCCCATTCAATGAATTATCTCTTTATTGACTGTTTGCTGTGCAGAATTTTTCTAACTTGATGTGATCCCATTTGTCTATTTTTTGCTTTGATTGCCTGTGCTTGTGGGATATTGCTCAAGAAATCTATGTCCAAAGTCCTAGGGAATTTCCCCAATATTTTCTTTTCATAGTTTTATTATTTCAGGTCTTAGATTTATGTCTGTAATTCAGTTTGATTCAATTTTTCATGAATGAGATTATGTCTTTTTCAGGAACATGGATGGAGCTAGAGGCTATTATACTTAGCAAACTAATGCGGGAACAGAAAACCAAACACCGCATGTTCTCACTTCTAAGTGGGAGCTAAATGATGAGAACTCATGAATACCAAGAAGGGAATGACAGACTCTGAGGCCATCTTGAGGGTGGAAGGTGTAAGGAGGGAGGAGATGAGAGAATGAGAAAAAATAACTACTGAGTACTAAGTCTAATATCTGGATAATGAAATAATCTATGCAACAAACCCCCATGACATGAGGTTACCTAAATAACAAACCTGCGCATGTACCACCGAACATAAAATAAAAGTTAAAAAAAAATACTTTGAGCTGAATGAGAATAAAGGCAAAATATAAAATTACGCTTGTGGAAGTCTGTTAAAATTATGATTAGAAGGAAATGCCTAATATTATTAAGATGGCAGTACTCCCCCTACTGAGCTAAAAATCAAAACATACTGTATCAAATCCCACCTACTATTTTTATAGAATTTTACAAGTTGATTCTCAAATTCTTAAAAAAATCAAGAGACACAGAATAGGCAAAACTATTTTGGAAAAGAAAATTATTAGTGGACTTGTACTTGCTGATTTCAAAACTTAACCATGATGCCAGAGTAATCAAAATAATGTAGTACTGGGATAAAGGTAGACATACTGATCCATCGAATAGAATTGAGAGTTTTTAAATAAATCCATTAACTTATGGTCAATTTATATTTAAAATTGTGTTTATAATTCACACATAATAATTGTACATGTTTATGGGGTACAGAGAGATATTTCAATACATATATACATTGTATAGTGATCCAGTCAGGGTAGTTAGTATATTCATCACCTCAAACTTTTATTTCTTTGTGGCTGTAACTTTCTTTTTTTTTTTTTTTGAGACGGAGTCTGGCGCTGTCGCTCAGGCTGGAGTGCAGTGGCCGGATCTCAGCTCACTGCAAGCTCCGCCTCCCGGGTTTGCGCCATTCTCCTGCCTCAGCCTCCGGAGTAGCTGGGACTACAGGCGCCTGCCACCTCGCCCAGCTATTTTTTTGTATTTTTTAGTAGAGATGGGGTTTCACTGTGTTAGCCAGGATGGTCTCGATCTCCTGACCTTGTGATCCGCCCATCTCGGCCTCCCAAAGTGCTGCAATTACAGGCTTGAGCCACCGCGCCCGGCCGTGGCTGTAACTTTCAAGATCTTCTTTTCTAGCAACCTTGAAACATGCAGTTGATTACCACTGGCTATATTCACTCTACTACCTGATAGCATACTAGAAATTATTCTTCCTATCTAATGTAACCTTGTACCTGTTGACCTATCTCCCTTCATACCCCCTTCATTTCTCCCATTCCTAGCCTCTGATAACCACTATTGTACTCTTCATTTTTATGAGATAAGCTTTTTTTTTTTTTTTTTGGTATTCTCTTAATAAGTGAGATTATCAAGTACTTGTCTTTCCCTGTCTGATTTATTTTATTTAACATTATGGCCTCCAGGTTCATTCATGTTTTCACAAATGACAGGGTTTCATTCTTTTTCATAGCTGAATCATATTCCATTGCATATATATACTACCTTTTCTTAGTCACTCCTCCATTATGATCATATTGGTTGATTCATTCTCTTGATTATTGTGAATAGTGATGCCATAAACAAAGGGGTACAGATATCTTTTCAACACACTGATTTCAATGCTTTTGGATACCCAGTAGTGAAATTTTCCAAATCATTTTATAGTTCTATTTTTTAAGGACCTTCCATACTGTTTTCCATAATTGCTATACTAATTTATATTCCCACCAACAACGTAAAATGTCCCTTTATTCTGTTTCCTTGCCAGGATCTTTTTTTTTTTTTTTTTTTTTTTGTCTTTTTTATAAGAGACATTCTAACTCAGGTGAGATAATACTCTTTGTGGTTTTCATTTGCATTTTCCTGATGATTAGTGATGTTGGACATTTTGTGATATATCTGCTGGCCATTTGTATGTATTCTTCTAAGAGATGTGTATTTAGGCCTTTTGCTCATTTGTAAATTGGATTATTTGTTGTTTTTGGTATTGAGTTGTTCGAATTCTTTGTATATTTTGGACATGCACCTCTTGTTGGATGCACAGTTTGCAAATATTTTCCCTCATTCTGGGGAATATCTTTTCACTTTACTATTGCTTTCTCTGCTATAAAGATAACTTTTAATTTGATATAATTATGTTTGCCTCTTTTTGCTCCTGTTGGCTGTGCTTTGAAGGTTCTATCCAAAATTTCTCACTCAGATCAATGTCATGAAGTGTTTTTCCTATGTTTCCTTCAAGTATTTTCATAGTTCAACTCTTTAAGTCTTTAATTGAGTTCATTTTTATATATGCTGAGAGATATGGATCTGTTTTTTTTTTTTTTTTTTTTTCTGCCTGTGGATACTGTTGGACCACTTGTTGAAAAGAGTTATTATTCCTCATTGAATTACTTTTGCACCTTTGCCAAAAATCAGTTGACTCTAAATGCACAAATTTATTTCTGGACTTTATTCTGGTCCATTGGTCTATGTGTATTTTTTTTTTTTTTTTTTTTTTTTTAGTCAGTACCATGCTGTTTTGGTTACTACAGCATTGTAGTTTATTTTGAAGTCAGGTAGTATAATGCTTCCAGCTTTATTCTTTCTGCTCAAGATTGCTTTGGTTATTCTGGGTCTCTTGTGGTTCACTACAACTTTTAGGAATGCTTTATCTATTTCTGTGATGACAGTTATTGGTATTTTGATAGGGATTGCATCAAATCTGTAGATCACTTTGGGTAGTACAAATATTTTAACGTATTTTCATATTCAATTTATAAGCATGGGTTATCTTTCCACTTATTTGTGCTTCCTCAATTTTTTCATCAATGTTTTCTGGTGTTCCTTATACATATTTTTTCCCTGCTTGAGTAAACTTATTCCCAGATATTTTTTTGTTGGTGGTGGTGATGTGATTTTTATGGGTGTGTGTGACTATTGTAAACGGGATAGTTTTCTTTTTTCAGATAGTTCACTATTGGCATATAGATATTCTACTAAATTTTGTATGTTGATTTTGTATCCTGCACCTTACCTGAATTCATTTATTAATTTTAATAGTTTTTGGTGCAGTATTTATGTGTGTGTGTGTGTATATATATATATATGTACACACACATATGATCTTGTCATCAGCAAACGGAGACAATTAGACTTCCTCCTTTCCAATTTGAATGCCCTTTATTTATTTCTCTTCTATATAAAGCAAACTAAGCTAAGGAAATTTGAATCTCTAGACTGACGTTTGTGTACTCCAAAATCCATACATTGAAAGCCTAATATCCAGTGTGATGGTATTTGGAAATGGGACTTTTGGGAGTCACTTACATCATGAAAGTGGAGTTCTTATGGTGGGGTTAGTGCTCTTATAAAAAGAGACGCGAGAGAGTTTGCTTCCTCTCTGTTTACCATATGAGGTTACAAAAAGATAATTGTCTGTAAGCCATAAAGACTGCCACCATCAGCAATGGATCTGCTAATGCCTTGATCTCAGGCATCCCAGCTTCCAGAACTGTAAGAAATAAACGTTTGTTGTTTAAGCCACCCAGTCTACGATAAATTGTTATAGTAGTGCAAGTTAAGACAATTTCCATTAGGAAAATAAAGACAAAATACACATTTTATACACTTACATATGTTTATTCTCTTTTTCTAATGAAATATACATACTAAGAAATAATTAAATCTTGTGTAATTGTTGTTACATATCTTAAATCTGCTAAACGTTGAGGAAAAATATAGTATATAATTTATAATTACATAAAAATTTATTTAATTTAAAAATCATGTTTAAATTATATCTTAGCTATTTACATACATGTTTAGTAACTAGTTTACAATTGTAGCTGATGCTTAAAGAGGATAAATAGGGCTATTAGAATTTTGTTAAATATGCCTTAACATTGAATCTAAGTCACATTACTATAATAAAATTAGCATTATCATTAATGAAATAGCTTTTCGATATTATGAAAGCCATATTTTGTACAGTACAAGAACCAAGTGAAGAGTGAAAGTTGTAAGCGCTGTGAAACTTAAATCCTGGTGTTTCTTCCCATTGACAACTAAAATTGCTGGTGATCTTCATGACCAGTTGATTTCTATTGGTTCTTCTAGAGTAACACTGTTCTGGGTCAGATCAATATATAATATCTAAAAAAGTAAAATGATAATTACTTGTTTAATCAGAACCACATTTTTCTTATTTTAATGAATGATATTTCAAAAACAAGTTTTCTAATAAATAGTATATACCTTTATTTTCTTTTATATCTTGAGAAAGTTTTACTCTAGGAAAGTTTGCAACCATTTCAGCAACAATTTCACCCAATCTACCCATTTTACCTAAGGTTAAAATAAATCTCAGAAAGGTGGAGTTGCTGTCAAAAGATACTGAAAAACCCGTAACTCTTGGTCAATTTTATTGATTTCTATGACTTTACTCTTTTCACATAATTTCTAAATATGGAGTTATTTATAACTGCACTACATGAATCTCAATGCATCCCTTTTTCAAGTATTATCCAGACATTTTCAGTCAAAGTTTAGATTTAAAAGTGTTATTTTACCTCAATCAAAAAATATTTTATGATGCTTAATTTATTGCCAATGATTCAATTTTGCATGTGTTACTTTATTTCACTGGATATAATCTGAAGTAGACTGTAGAGAGATTATTATATCTCTATCATGGAGATTATTAAGTTGCTGTAGTAAAATGATCTTCTGTCATAGTTTTATGATATGATGATTTCAGAAGACTTTACCATTGCTGCTTTTTGTCCAATGAACTGACAAGATTTTCTGTGCTTTAGCTCAGCAAGTTTGGATTCAGTCATCAAATACGCAAGAGGAGGGGAGGTGAATCCTTTACTGCCTACCACATACCAGGCCTTTTCATAAGGACTTTATAAAATTTAATCTTCCTTAAAACACAGCATATCTGGATTAATTTACCACACTTGATAAATGAATTTAAAAAGTAATAGTTAAAGAATTGAGTATTCGTTAGACAGGTTTAAAACAGATCTAAACTATTTTTTTAACTTAAATGTAGAAAGCAAAAATACACCACATAGCTTTTAATACTTTTTACAAAAATCAGTTGGACATAATTGTTGCTACAAAAATGTTTTAAAAATTATATTGCTAGAGCAATTAAATAATCTCTGTCATAAATTAAAGGGCAAGCAGGGTAGAGAAAGAAATTGATCATCCTCTCTTCCTTTCCTATGTATCTATCAAGGCTTGGAAAACAGTAATTGCTCATAAATATTGAGTTTATTTAAACACACTTAGAAGGAACTGCTCAGAGTTGTTGGTTAAAGTAAACGTATATTTCGTCATCACTGAGGTAATGAAACTCAAATATTTGCTCTCAATGCTTAAAATTCTTTGTGAATGTTTTTAAAGAGAGTAGAAAAAGTGATTTTTAATGGTTTGTTTTTACGCTACATATTTGATCAAAACGACCTTGAAATAACACCCCAAAATATTAAATTATCTTATTTGGCATTGTTTATTTACTTTATTTTTACCATAAAAGTTGTGAGCTTAATTTTCATCATTGTAATCTGTAAATAAAAAGCAAGACATTATTTAAGCCAAACCATCTTTTATTTATCTGATTGAACATTGGACCGTCCAAAAAAGTGATTTCTAATTGTGATTGATAACTATTGAGTAGTTATTTTGGGGAATTAATTTTACTTCTTTGGGGACCTAATTTCTTTGTCAGCCACATAAGACTACTGGACTAAAATCAGGTATTCTGGAATTTTATAAACAAATCAAATTTTAAAAATAAAAATATGAGTGTAAGGCACTAAGATATTTACTTTTATTTTACTGGGGAAAGACACATTAAATATATCAAAGTTGGGAAATTATATTTTATATTTCCCATCCTTAATATAGTTTTAAGCAAAACAGCGAGTTGTACTGCAAAAGCAGTAAGAAAAACATAGTTCCATATTAAAGGAAAACCCCACTTGTCAACAAAACAGCAATAGCAGTAGGATGGGTGTTAAGTTTCAAAAAGATGGAACAGACTTTCAGGTGCTGTTTAACTCTGGCATTCTCTGACACCTACAAGGATCTAAGACTGCGTCCAAGACGGACTTTTTTTTTTTTTCTTTTTTAGGTTCAAGTTAGTCAAACAACTGACTATTTTAGAAGTTAAGTTCATTTAAAGTGACTGGTTAATGGCTCTTTGTTTTTACCCAAGTTTAAACAGAAAGGGTGGGTACACACACATTTACACAATTTTAGTAGTGCATAAGTGCATAAGTAGGCCTAAACTTAAAATGAACACTTAAAACAGTTAGCTGTTTTCTAGAATATGTGTTTGAAATTCACCTTTGCAAGCCATAGATTCACAGAATTTAGAACTGGAAGGAGCTTAAGAGATTGATCATTTACTTGATTTTTTTTTTTAAATTCAGTTAGATACAACCAAAGGCCTGAAGTTTTTTGTTCAAGGTAAAGAGCTAAATACTGGCAGCAATGATGCTTTAACACAAGAATCCTGACTCCTTGTGTAGTATCTGTATCATATGTATCACATTCCTGTATTAATGGGTGCTGACAGTTTCATTAAGTTTGCAAGAATTTTCAAATACATTTTCAAGACATATTCAATGCTTAAATGCAGATATCTTATTTTTAAAATGTATTTTCTGAGGCACTTTATCATATAGGGATAACAGTTATTTTAAGTTTTAATTTAATTTTGCTTTGATTGTATCATAATAATAAAATAGATGTCATTAGATTGATTTGTATGACAGTTTATTAAGGATAATAATAAGGAAATAAACATGGAGACCCAATGAAAAGGAATATATGAAGAATGTTGTAATTGACTCATAATTATGTTTCTTATGGATGAGAGATATAAGAAGTCCACGTAGATGCTTTAAATACGTACGTTTTTGAAAAATATCTTTTTATGTTACTTACCGTCTTGGTATTGTCTTCATTAAATTTTAGAAGCGAATTTTGATTTCCATTATACCTTAGAGTAACCACATTGACAGGAGTGGTACTTTTCCCCAATACACGAATGAACCCAAGCCTCGTTTCACTTTTATTTATGTAACCTCTTTTCAATATAGTGCTTGTTAAGGTGGTCTGTAAGATAAAGAAAAAGGAATAACATAAACACTTCATTTGCAAAAGCAATTCAATCTAAAAAGAAATACACAAAAGTATATTTCATAGTATAATAAATTGTTTATCTGTGTATGTGATATAAGGTATTTTATATAATAAACATGAAAAAACTTCAAATATTCTTCCTTTTTTCCTGTGTATCCATTTATTGAGACAGGGTCTCCCTCTGCCACCTAGGCTCAGAAAGTTTGGATTCAGTCATCAAATATGCAAGAGAAGGGGAGGTGAATTCTTTACTGCCAGGCTGAAGTGCAATGGTGCAGTCATGACTCACTGCGATCTCGAACTCCTAAATTCCAGTGACCCTCTAGCCTCAGCCTCCTATGTAGCTGGGACTACAGTTGCATGCCACCATACCTGGCTAATGTTTTTATAGAGATGGAGTCCCACTGTGTTGCCCAGACAGATCTTGAATCCCTGACCTCACGCAATTCTCCCATGTCAGCCTCCCTATGAACTAGGATTACAGGCATGAGCCACCCCACCCAGCTGTGAACTTCAAATATTCTTTAACAGAATTGCATATAAATAATCTTACATACCTTGTTTAAATTAAATTGTACAGATAAATATAGGTCTCTTTCATAGGTGTCTGTAGAGAGAGAGAGAGAAAAAAAAAAAAGTGATATATTGTTATTTCCAAAGAAGAACCATAGTAAATACCTGTATACTTTGCTTCTCTTTCCCAGTATAAAAAGCAGCAAATAGTATCAAGGTGTATCTATTTTTTCTCTAAGCCTATTTAAGTAATTCAGATACAATTCAAGAAGCCCTGGAAATGAAGGATGAGTCACCAGGTAAGGTCCTAAGAAGACAAGCTAAGTGGTATATGTGTGTGTAGGGGTAATGATAAAGTAGTAACAAGTTGAAAATCACTTTCACATACAACACTGGGAAGGTGGCAAGAAGTGCACAAGTAGTCCAAGAATAAACAGAATTCAGTGATGATATCAATGGACACTTACTTGCCACCTTAGTGACTGACAAAATAATATAAAGGAAAAAAAGACATGGTAGCAACACATTCTAGTGTCATTTGAAAAAACAAATTCAATTGTTCAAGAGATTGTTACAGGTCAACTAAAATTAAACTGACAAAATATAGGTTTATAGCAACATCTTTAAGGTATAATCATTATTTTTTAGTTTTTATTTTTTGAGACAAAGTCTGGCTTTATCGTCCCAGCTGAAGTGCAGTGACACAATCATGGCTCACTACAGCCTGGACCTCCTGGGCTCAAGCAATACTCCCACCTCAGCCTCCTGAGTGTCTGGTACTACAGGCATTCACTACCATGCCTGGCTTTTTAATTTTTTTTATCTTTGTAGAGACAGGTTCTCCCTATGTTGCCCAGGTTTGTTTTGAACTCCTAGACTCAAATGATCCTTCTGCCTTAGCCTCCCAAAGAACTGAGATTATAGTCATGAGCCACCATCACCAGTTTGAAGTATAATCTTGCTGTATTTAAAACCCATTTTAATGATAATCCTAGAGCTAAAACTTGTTAAATGCTATTTATCAAATTCTAAATACTTCATCACATTTACTCTGAAAGGTATGTTATTATTATTCCCACTGTATAGAAGAATAAAGTGGCTTTCAAAGCAGTTAAATAAATTGCCAAAGGTAAAAACAAAAAAAATCAAAACAAAACAAAACAAAAAACAAAAAACAAAACCATGAAAGCTAATTACTGTCAAGGTCTGGAATCAAGCCCAGTTTTCCTTGGCTTCTAAGATTGTATTCCTATGTAAAAACACAAATAAGCATACATAAGATAGAAAGAGCAAAGTAGAGTCAAATAAATAAAACAATATTGGGGTAACATTGAAAGAGCAATATATTTTAATTCTCTTTTCTCCTTATACATATCAGGGCTGTATTCATTAACCCACTAAAATTAATTTGCTATTGATTTTACCTATACTAAAATGGATATTCTGCCTAAAACTTTTTTATATATGCTAATGTATGTATGGCTAATTTAATACGTATTACAAGACATATTAGTGTCAATATTCCTTAACCATTTTAGTTCTTATTTTCAATATAAAATTACAGCTTAAGTTTTCATGAACAAACTTTTAAGTATAGAATTCTGAGTTAAAAAAGCAAAGGTGACAGCTATTAGGAAGGTATGGGTAGCTTTGTTGTTTTTAATAAGAGGAAGAAGCATCTCACATATGATCTTAATCAGGGACACACACATGGCTATTTCATTAAGATAAGTAGAAAAATTAACATTTTACTAAGCTCTAACTTTATTAATCAAGAATGGTCAAAATTTACTTAATGTTAAGTTTCAGAAGTTCATTTTAATTTACCTTTAATTATTTCACGATAATTTGTTACCACATTATAATATATCACAAAATTTGAACATATTTGTTTAAAAGAAAGAAATCATTTCAGATAGGATGCCCATCAATTAGATTGTTGTGTTTGCTGCGAGAGAAAACCTCTTTGGAGATTCTGATCTAACAAATCCAGAGAATAAGCATTTGGTATATATGATTATTGCTGTTAACTCAAGAAATTTCAAGGAACTATTTAAAAATATCTATACTTAATTAAACCAAGTATACTGATATTGTGAAACGTAACAAAATAAGTAGACCCAATTGACAAAAAGCTATTTTTCATACTTGCATGAGGAGATCATAGAGAAATATTTGAATTATGCTCAGGGACTTTCCAGTGATTACAAAAAGTCTGCCATGAAACTTGAATAGGGTAAAGTCCACACCAAATGTTTTCATCTATGCCTTAGTTTGATAGGAAGAGCTGGAGAAAATTCTAAGAGAAGTTTTGTCTACCTAACGGATAAAATGAATTGACTTAATTTGTTAATTATGAGATTCAAAGATCCCAAGTTGCAGACCTAAACTTTACACCCTTGGGAAATTGAAGGCAAATTTCCTGTTGGACACAAAGGGAAAGGCCAAAAACTTCATAGACCCTCAGTTGTTGCAGTAATGAAGGTCAGAGCTCTAAAAGCAAAGGACTAACTCATGTTGGTATCTTCACTTTCTAAGTCACAAAATGTTATAAAGAGGGATTTATTTTTCCCAAGAATCTTGCTCTCTAGCATACAATTCTTCTATCAACTTTATTATACTTATTTACTAATGGATTATTTCTTAAGGTTGCAGAATATTAACTATGATTCATCTTAAAAGATAAAAAATGCATGTCTTTGCTATTAATGAGAAAACTATTATCTTTGGATAAGTTATTCAAATTGTAATATTAAATTGTAGAGAACTATCAACTTCACACAGATGTCAGTTTTTATGATTAAAGTTTGTGTCAAGAAAATGTTCAGAACGCTCATCTAGTAGTACTAACACTATTAAATGGCAGTCAGTAAACCTATCCTCTATCAGTGTTTACATACAGCATAAAAATCTCCTATAGGAGATTTCTGAGTTTCTCCTAAAATTAATGAAACTTGAATGAGTCCTATAATCTGCATTCTTAGCAAGCTGTCCCAGGTGTTTCTGATAACAACAGCTAACGGATTTCACATGGCTAGGAGTTTAGAAGTTTAGTATGGTCTGGAGGAACAGTTATGAATGGAATAAGCCTAGATCTAACGTAAAATATATCTCCTCATGTAAAGAAATGCTAAATACTAATAACAAAAACAAACAAGCAAAAACAGTAGACATAAAAACACAGAAATCAAATTTACTTGAAATTGGTTTCTGGACTACCTCCTTGTTGTAGAGGCACCGCTTGTGCATTTTGGGGGCTCAGAAAGTGATTTCTTAAAATAAAGGTCCCAGAAGCAACATTGGAAGCAAAGTTTCTCCCTGACCTTCTCCTGCCTTCCTGTCTCTTGCCCCTTATTCTCTAGTCATAGAAACTAGAATTCCTTTTCCCAAAGGCGAGTCATAGAAACTAGAACCCTTTTCCCCCAAAGCTAGCTATAAAACCTAGAAATGTTACTCTCTTTCCCTGCTTTTCTGTAACAGCTGGCCATGAGGAAATTAACAACCTCCTTCCAGAGGGGTCTCACCCCATACCTGAGAGGAAGAAATGCTAAAATTAATAATCCAACAAGAATGCGGACAGGCCTTGCTAGATTTCCTCACTCAATCTGTTTCCATTAGCTTATACTCTTTTTGTCCAATCACATTTCTACATGGCAGTTCCTGTTTCACTGAAACTCAGAATACAGTCTGAGAGCGTTCTCTGTGTCTTTGTGCCTTTATTCTGAAGGTTCCTGTTTCACATAAAACTATGATTACATATGCTTGTTATGCTTTTCTCTTGTTAACTAGTGTTTTGTTATTATAGAGGTGTTGGCTCTGACCTTTATGGTAAATGAGGAAAAGTATCACTCCTTTTTGTCCCTACAGCATCAATATTTTGCACATATAATAATGTGGTTATTCAGCTAAGTTAACTTTATATATATGCCAAGTGTCTATTATGTGAATAGCACTGTGCTAGCTTCTGGAAGTACAAAGATAATAGATACGTAATTCCTGACCACACAAATTTCTTACCTAGGCACTTACCATAGGGATTGACTAATTTAGGATAAGAAAAGTCTTTAAATGTTTGTGACATGTGACATTGTTTATCTATTTAACTTGATTCAGTGAATTTAGTAAAATCTTTTAGCCTTGAATAATATTAATAGCTTTGTACTCAGCTTCCAAAGAAAAATAATAGAAAACATAAAAGTAATGTGATAAAATATGTCATCAATTAAATTTATCTACTAAATAGAGCACTCACCTATACTCTCTCCATCATCCCAAAACAGAGAACCCTGTGCCATCTGATTATCATCTGCAGCAACAATGAGCTTCATGTATTTTTGTCGACTATAAGAAAGAAATATATAATTTTACCAATGTTTGTAGGATAGCATATGTCTAGGTATGATATCATATGTACATAAGGATCTACAGGAACACAAGCATTAAGGAGTGTGCAAATGACTTAGACCGAGAAAATTAAAGCATTCCCATTTTTCTAAATTAGTTAACAGAAATTATATAAAACAATAAATTTTTTCGTATTTAGCTGGGTGCAGTGGTTCACATCTGTGATCCCAGCACTTTGGGAGACCGAGGCAGGCGGATCATGAGGTCAGGAGTTCGAGACCATCCTACCCAACATGGTGAAACCCCATCTCTACTGAAGTACAAAAAATTAGCCAGGCGTGGTGGCGGGTGCCTGTAGCCTCAGTTACTTGGGAGGCTGAGGCAGGGAAACTGCTTGAACCCAGGAGGTGGAGGTTCCAGTAAGCCAAGATTGCACTACTGCACTCCAGCCTGGTGACAGGGCGTGACTCCATTAAAAAAAAAAATTATTCGTATTTAATAGGAAATATCATGCATGCCTTTTGATCTCAAGAGTTAACATAATGTAACAAATCAAAAGTGGCCTCATTGAAAGTAATTAAAACCACGTTAAGTTTATTAATATATTTCCTCATGCCTCTCTTGGGTAATCCTGTCATTAAGCATTAAACATGAAACAATTTTAATAGCATTTTTAAATCTTTTATGACTTAAGCCTTCCTCAGATTTCTGTACATAAATAACTGAGTTATCACTGGTTAAAATTAATAAGAATGTATAAAGTAGTCTCCAAGTTCTAAGTTACATCCTTGTAATAGACAATACCTTTCAAGCATGTTTCTACATAGGGCTATTTTTGAACTAAATACTTGCTTCCATGTTAAATCTCCAGCAATCTTTGAGAAGCAACTTGATTTAGCAGCCTCATATTGTTTGAAATAATTTATCAGATCAAATGTTTTAGCTGTCTGCCTTTTCCAATCACAAATGCTAAAGAATATATGGCCATGGAAGTCTCCTAAAATTTCCAGAATCTCTAGAGTTCAAATCTCCACAGTAATTTGATATTTTTCAGTGAAATATATTAACATATCTTAGCATGAATATGTATATGAATTTCAGTTCACAGTCACTAGGGTTTAAAAATAATTTAGAAACATCAAAAATATGGCTTAACCTGCAATTTCCCGACATATACTAAAACTTGTGATTAGAAAGAGTTTTACAACTTTTTATACTGTACAATGATCTGTCTTCTCTCTCATAAAAAAAAATAAGGTTTATTCAAGGCACAAGTTATGAATGGTCTCCTCCATGAAGCCCTCACTTTTCAGGTACAATGATGTATCTCCTGTTTAACTGATATCAGGATAGAATATTAATAGAAACGGACCGGGGTAAGTCAAGGAGATTAGAATATTCTGTTCATGCCAACTGGGGCTGTCAGCATATAGATGACCAAGAGATGATACAGCACAAAAAGAGAAGAAAAACAGAGACAGCGTCCTCTAGAACTTGAATGTTGAAGCAAGGAATTTTGCAAGGGAAATAAAGATTGATTGGAATAAGAAGTTTACACCTACGTCAGTCTGAGAACACAGAGCAGATCCATTGTCCCTGGTAAATTGGACCTATTGCTGAATGATAGAAAGAGAAATCCAGGTAGAGGTGCTCAGGCAAAGAAGAGAAGGGCCTGGCCAGACAATCAGTTATAAAAATGGTGCTAGACAGAAAATCTGGGATAGGCTTCATATTTATATAGGACAAGGTCATTAAGAAACAGGTCTGGAGTTCCAGACCAGCCTCGCCAACATGATGAAACTCTGTCTCTACTAAAAACAAAAAAATTAGCCAGGCATGGTGGGAGGCACCTGTAATCCCAAATACTCAGGAGGCTGTGGCAGGAGAATCGCTGGAACCCGGGAGTTGGAGGTTGTAGTGAGCTGAGATAGTGCACTCCAACCTGAGCAACAGAGCAAGAGTCAGTCCCACACCAAACAACAAACAGAGCACGACGAGCACAGACAACGAAAAACAGCAAACGAAACGAAAACGACGAAAGAAACGAAAGAAAGAGAGAACAGAAGCAGACGAACAGAAAGCAAGAACCACACGAACGAAACCGCAACACACGCACAGCGACCAGACCAAGACCGGAACGGAAGCGCACAGCGAACAGAAGCGCATCACACGCCCGCGCACCACACACACACCGAACGGGCGCACACGAACACGCACACACGCAAACAGCCACGACACGCACAACCGCAAGAAAGCACACAACCGCCACACACGCGACGCACACGCACACGCAGACCGCACAAGACAACCGAGAAACAACGCGAAACGAACCACGAAGAACCCCCCAGCGACAAGAACACGCAGGACCGAACGAACGCACAACGAAGGCAATCAACCCGCGCGCACACACGCCAAGCAAGCCGCGACACCCCCCGACACACGCAACAGCACAGAAAGACAACAAAGAAAGAAACAAACGCAAACCGAAACGCAACGAAACCACAAAAACACCACGCACACGCAAACGCAACCCCACCGAAAGCGCAACAGCAACAGCAACACCACACAGCGAACCGACCCAACCGCACAACGCAACCCACGAACAGCGCACGAAAGGCAACGCGGCAAGCGAGCAGGACGGAGAGACGAGCAAGCGCGACAGAACACGAACCCAGCACGGCAAAGAAAAGAAACGAGCACGAGACCAGAGAAGACCAAACAGAAGAACACCGAACGCAAAGAAACCGAACACGCACACCGCACAACCCGAACGAACAGAAAGGACACGGAAGCGCACGGCGCGCACGCACGCGCAGCACGACGACGGAGAGCACACAGAAACAGACAACAAAGAAACAAGGACAAGCAGCAAACCGCAGAGCAACAAAAACACACACGCAAACCCCCCACGCGGAAAGAAACGCCCACGCAGAAAACACAAAACCCACGGTCTCGCCGCCTCCTCCTCGCGCATCCGCACGCCGCACACTACTACCACGCTCTCTCACTGCGCACTCACCCCTCGACCCTCACGCGCGTGAATGTCTACATTTTCATGGACTATAATGAGTCAGGAAATATATCACAAGACAGACAAAGAGAGGCAAAGAAAGGGAAACAGAAAATTAATGGAAAAGAAAGGGACACCTCCAAGCTATACTGACTTAAAGTTTATAAAAAGGTTCATCAAATGGAATATTATTCAGTGCTAAAAAGAAATGAGATACAACCCAGGTATCTCATGGAGGAACCTTAAATGCATATAGCTAAGTGAAAAAAGTCAAATTGAATGGTTACATACTGTATGATTCCAACTATATGACATTCTGGAAAATACAATTTTATAGAGATAGTAAAATACCAGTGGTTCCCATGGGTTGAAACAGCGATGAATAGGTGGCAAATAAAGGATGTTTAGGGGAGTAAAACAATTCTAAATGACACCAGTGGTGGCTGCAGGTCGTCATACATTTGTTTAAACCCAGAGAATCTACAACATCAACAGTGAACCCTAATGTAAATTATAGTCTTTGGTGATAAGTGTTAGTGTAGGTTCAACGACTGTAACAAATGTGCTACTCTTACGGGGGGTGTTGAAAATGAGACAGGCTATGCATGTGAGACAGCAGAGGGTAAATGGGAAATCTCTGGACCTTCTCAATTTTGCTCTATAAAATTGCTCTAAAAAATAAGTCTTTAAAAAAAAGTTCATCAATATTTCATGTTTTCATAAAATGATCTTCATAATACTAGATCTTCCACATGTCAGAAGCAGAAAAGTAGGGTAAAACCTTGTTGAGGCAATCATTGAAAATATAAGACATTAATTTGTCATTACTTCTGCATATTATAGATAGATCATAAAGGTTTAGTTTATATTTTAATCTGGGAAGCTTTCTTACTTTAAGAGGAAATATCCTGTTGGAAGACAGTTTTCCATGGGTCTCTTGCATTTTTGTATGTCATATGCAGAGGCACTGACAGCCTGTCTTCTGAGCTGTCTTTTCAGGGATGTTTTAAAAGTGAATAGCATTGAATGGCAGGGTTTAAAAAAAATTCTTAATATTTCTTCTTACTGTCCAATATAAAAAAGATAATCTTTTTTTCAAAACAAATAATGGACAGATTTGTTTGTAGTCTTATTAAAGACACTGTTTTCCTAAACTTGGGATTTCTTGTTTGTGACATAGACCTCCTACATGTGCAACGCCTGCCTGGGCCTCTCCATGTCATCCCCATGGGACTTGGTGGATAAGAAAACCTGATGCTAAGATAAAGTTCCTGTTTCTTGCTATGTCATAAACCACAAACACCTTTGTCTCTGACCTGGCAATCATAGTACTGAGGCAATGTAGAAACTTGGCAATGGGGTAAAATTTCAAACCTTTTCTATTTCTTAACAATGCTAGCATGTTGTATCTCATAATTTAACCTGAGCTTTGTAAACAGTTCACTTACCTGTAAAATGTGTTTTGAGCTGGCTCTTGACATGGTAGGATGTGACCACCACGGACATGTAGGTTTATTGTCTCAAAAGGAGCATTAAATGTATGAAATTGTCCTCTGACAACAATATCTTCGCCCTGGAAATGAAAGGGATGGAAAGAAGAACAGGTGGAGCAGGAAGTGGAATCATCAGCAACATTGGTACTTGAGGATATACATTTAAAAAAATCAAATGATACACTTTTGAATTTAAAAATTAACATTTATTCAGAAAATCTTAATTTGTTTCACTGTCGTAACCATTTTACTCTCTCTCTCTCTCTCTCTATATATATATATATATATATGTATCTCATAACATGATGTTGTATACCTTAAATATACACAGTGGAATTTATTTTTTAAAAGTATATCTTTAGAATCTAGTTCAATATAAGTCTTTATGATAGCTTTGAAAGTCATTTATAGTGTTGTTTTTGTGGAGCTCACATGCCTAAAGTGTGTGGATTTTTGAAAGGTCACAAAAGCTCTCCTTGACTTATGTACATTATTCTTGGAAGGACTGCACTAACTTTAATAATCATTTTACATATCCAATAAAAGGCAATTATCTTTTTGTGTGTAATGTGTAATTACCATATTTATTTGCTAAAATAAATCAATGACTACACAACAAAGTGCAGCAGAATAAATTAACTCTCTTTCACTGTGGGTTAATCCAGTTCAGTTATAATTTACCAGAAATGTTACTTTCCACTCTTTTTAAGTGGAAAGTAAATCCAACACACCATTAATGAAAAGGCTGGGACCAAACAATTACCCATTTCTGTTTAGTCAATTCCCCAGAATACCTTAAATACTTACTGTATAGAAGTCAAACCACCGAGCATTGGGGACGTAGGCATTTACAACTTGAACATACTGGAATGTAAATAAATAGCCATTAATTGTATATAAACCAAATAAAATTTTGTAAACAAAAATATGTGGTAGGACTTACAGGTTCCAGTACTGGGGTAACCATAAACGCTGGACCCCATAAGAACTGCTTGAATATATCCCAGGTTGGTTTTTCATCAAAGAACCTTGACAAAATTATCACAAATAATTAAATTAAAACAAATAACTTTCTCCTGAATACCATAAAATCATTATTCAAATCATATTTTGTATTATAGACTTTTCTGGATTAAAATAAAAACAAAATGACAAAAAAATTTAAAAATGTATCAGTTGGATTGTAATAGTACAATGTGCAGCAGTATAATACTTTATGAGTAAATCTAGACTATGACTAAATTTCCTGAGAAAATAGAGAATTGTGATGGACATGTAACATCAACTAAATGAGAAATTACTTTGGAAGAGAACTAATAGAGGTACAAATATTAACTTTGTCTAGTATATGATCAACAAGTTAAAAAGCATATTAAAAACACTCGAAGAAAATTGTGAGACATATTATAATAATTTTAATTCATTAATTTTAAAAATAGTTTGCTTATCCTACTTAATAAACTCTCTGAATAGTAGATTTACATGTTCCTAAAGGCTCTGTAACATGTTAATGGATTTCTGAATTTGAGATATAAATGGCTAGGAAAAACAAAAGTTTTTTTTTTTTTTTTTTTAATGTTTTAAGAGCCTTCTTCTCCAATTGAAATGAAAAAGAAAAGTTATTTCTTAAAATTTGTTTGTTATTTTGCTGTGGTTTTGTTTTGCCTTATTAAAAGCTGAGATTAATGCTGAATTGGAAAGCTGGGCTTACTCCTCCATAAATTCATGAAAGTAGGAACTCAGGTATTCTCAACAGGACAACAGTCTGTATAGTTAATAATAATATTTCTGACTAGTGACTCAACCCAGAGCTGATACGCTGATTATCCTGGGAGGTAAATAGGAATAGCAAAAAGGGTAAAGTCTGTAAATAAAAAGGAGATCAATAAAATGTTATCAGAAATAAAGAAGGGATTATGGTAGATGACAAATTAATAAAGCAACCAGAACATAATTTGAATCCAGAAAGAATCTTTTGTTGTTGTTTTAGGAAAACTGGATCACTTATCCTGTCATCAAAAGAGAAGGCATACCAATTAACTTATTTGGTAAATTTACTTTGGGTATTTTTTTTTAATTTAGGTAAATATTTGCCTTTTTAAAATACGCTTATCAATAGTGAAATCTAACAAATCAGCTCATTCAATTATGTTAGTAATATAGGGCGCTCAAAAAGTTAAATATACTGTGATTATTCAGGTTTTTTTGTTTTTATATTTGATTGCATGTTTTGCTTTTTGTGATATCTACAATAAGAATTTGCTGTATTCAACTTAAAGTGGGTAAAAATTTTTGCAAATATGTTCCATGAAATATAATTTTTAAGGTTTGGTCATATATAAGTTTGAGCTTTAAAAGGTTAATCCAAAACAAATTTATAAGGCTGATATTGACACTGTTCTTGTATATCTTATTGGGATACATCAAGGAAAAGGTGAGATGGTCTCCAGTCAGACATCTGTATATAGTAGATTACATAACTGCAGTAAACGTTGATTAATTAAATCATGTGGGGCATTACTTATCTCCCTACAAATGTTGAGAATACTCAATGTAAACACATATACAAAGCATGTAGAACAATACCTAGTATACAGTAATTATTCTGAAATAGAATTATTAATTTTTAATGACTAATGAATGTGGTTCATTCTTCAATGGTTTATGCTAGACTATTAATGGACATATTTGTGTAAATGCTTTATTAATCAAAAATGCATGCTAATGTAACAATGGAAAAGTTAACAATCTAAAAGGTTTTATATTGCACTATAAGAGATCATTGGACAAATTAAATGAAAAGTATCTCTCTGTGATAAGAGAAAACAAACTTTGTACTTACTCATGCAAAAGGGGTCGAATAACAGTGCCACCATGAGCATGAATTTCATGCATTTGTGTGTAGAAATAGGGCAATAAGGTGTATCTAATATTTAGAATATTCCTTGACATTTCAGCAAAAGTTTCATTCCAGGAAGCGGGATCTTGTCTCTGAAACAAAGCAAAATAACATAGTTATAAACTTTTGTCTTTGTTTAAATCATAATATTCATATTTGAGGAACTAAAAAGAAATGATATTAATTTATTGTCATGTGCTATGTACTTTCTCCCCAAAATATTATGCAATAATATTTCTGTCACATGATAAAGAGAAAAGGTACACAATATTTTAATAAGATAAATTCAAATTAAGTCCATGGCTTGATTTAGTTTAAGTGAACATATCCAGAGAAAAGTTCACATTTTAATAGATGACAAATATATTGTCAATTAGGTGATAGTCAGTGTTAGAGTGATAAGTATAGGAGAGAAATGGAATGATACGTTATCCAAAGTGAATTGAAATAAACACAGACAAGCAGAGCAAATGATGGTGACCACGTACATTGTGGGTCCTCAGGAGAAATGAACAGATTGTGGTACTAAACTGATAGAAGAGAAGGCATAAATTTGAATGAAAGGAAAGAACATGCCTGAGTATTCTCTGGAATGCACACTCCAGCTCAAAATATGAAAATTTTTAGTCTAAGATTTAGAGTGGAAGGTTGAAAGTCTACAAAAAAATTCTTGCACATATTAGTTTAAAAATAATAGGCAAGAAAAGTTATTACTATTTTATATTTTGATTTGCACCAGGGGAATAAACAAGGCTACCACAAAGCTCGAGGTAACATTTAAATGTTTTTCATTGACATCAGCATGACTGGGGCCCTTTATAGTTGTGTCATATCGATGATGATTCCAATTTTTCTGTATTTTCAGGAGCAAGAAAGTTTGAATGAAAATTTACTGTCATAGCTGTTATATGCAGTATTAGAATACAGAAAACCTTGAAAGTAAAAATGATCCAAGAACAATTAAACTATATGTGATCTTATTACTGATATTTCCAAAGTAAAAGAAGAAGAAAAATGGCAAAAATCATTATCTGTTGCTTACTGACCTCATTGATATAATTTTAGTTTTAACATGTTGATACACAAGCATCTAATTATAAACCATATAATTCGAGTAATACATTTCAACAGTTCATTTGTACCAACTCATAGTTAAACTTAAGTAGAGGTTTCTGTCCTCTAGAGTTTTATTTAGAAATACTTCCTCAGTCATTTCCTCCTTCTGCATTTGAATTTTCCTCAAACACTCCAACCACATTACAATCTTTGGGTATTTTACTTTGTTCCTTCCATGTGGAATTCTCCATATATTTATATTGGTTATTGTTCCCCACACCCATCTCCGCTCTAGTATTTCTTCATTTAATATGTTTCTGAACACTTTTCCTAAAGCAGAATCTCTGTAAAACTCCATCACTTTAGCTTAATATATTTTTCCCTTATAGACATTTATTTGTATCTGACCTATTACATATATAATGGTCTATTATTTATATCCCTTTTTAGAATATATAAATCACTGGAGCAAGGACTTGGTAAATATGAAATGGTATACTCTCAATAAAGCATCTCTGTCCAAGCTTTCATTGATTCATGCTCTACTTTCCCAGTATTACAGCTTTCTAAATTGCATTATTGACAGCAGATTTTCCTGTTGAGATATTACTGTGTCATCAAGTTATGTCTCTATTGTCCAACTTTCAAATTCTTTCAAAATGTGGTTCCATTCTGCGTACAATCCTTGTATTTCAGCATTTTCTAAAATAAATCCTATTGTATTTCTACCCACCTTTCCAGTAGGGGGGCCATATGGATTTCATAGCACATCATGAGCTCTGCCATTTATTTACTATAGGCAGAACACATCTTTTAAAGCCCAGCTCTGTCTTTAACCTTTCCATCATGTGCATTTTGCTAATTTATCATTTCTCTGCATTTCTTCACTGAAAATCAACATCATGAAATTTAGTGCTTATTTAGATATTGGCTCTAACTGTTCATAATTTTCCATAATTTTTAGAGGAGGGTGAGGATTGTTACTCACACTCCAACTTCATATAGGCCCTGGTGTCTGTTGCTCTCCAGTTACTCAAAAAAAGTTCCTCCAGAGAATTTCCTCACTACTCCAAAATTATATATAACATCAATAAATATGCCAGCTAAATAGGCCATGTACACTAGAGTATAATGAAGAGTAGCCCAAGTAAGAAAATATTGAAAGTAAATGTAGTAATTACATACCCTAGTATTTGCAATGTTGTGATTCCTTGAGTATGGATAAAATGCTCCAAGTTGCATCCAGCGGGTACAGAGATGATAATCTGAGTTGTTGAAGAAACCACAGATGTCTGCTCCAGTCTAAAATACATTGCTATATTTAGTTAAATTTGAATAGTTTATGAATATTTATAATTTATGAAGATAAAAGGAATAAAACTACTTACATATGATATTCCAAAGAGACTAAATTCCATCATACCTACAAAAGTTAGAAAATATATCTTAGAAAGTTATTATTTCATGTATTTTAATATTGGTTTTTATTTCTACTTATGAAGATGTTCTCTTTTTAATATCAACATCCAAACGTGAAACATTTTTCAGATTATGAATGTAATTATCTCATAATGCTTCTCATAATGCTAATACATTTTGACTTTGTAGCATTAGTGATATTTACAAAAATGAGATACTATAAGCTTCCTTGACACTTGCCAGGCGACATATTCAGAGAACAAATACATTATAAACACATTATACTGTGAGAAGGAAGTGGTGTCCACAGTTTCATTTTTGAAAATAAAGATGCTATTTCTGCAGTCATTTAACTATAGGTCTTATTGAACTATAGGTTAAATTTATTTCAGACTATCATTTGAAACAAATTGAATCATCCTTATTAAACAAAATCCTCTAAGGAGTAATCAATTCTGTAAAATAGAATGAATGTGATTTCTGAGTTCTTATTTTAAAGGAATATTTCTAAGAATTAATTGTTTTCCTTGAATTTATTTATTAATAGTGAACAAATTTTAAGACTAAACATAGAGCACAAAAGTATCTATTTCCCTATTAAAATGATAATGTCTTATTTAGCACTTATTCAATTATTGTCACAAATTTCTTTTCAAATTTGCTTCGAAATGTTTCATTTTTTAGCATCTATCAGTGATTTGTATTCCCTAGAATCTAGAATCCTTTAAATTTTAGTTTCAGAAGTACATTTGCAAGTGTATTATTTAGTAACTTGCTTGTCACAGGGGTTTTGTGTACCGATTATTTTGTCACCCAGATACTAAGCATAGTACTTGACAGATTGTTACTCAATCCTCACCCTCCTCTCACACTCCAACTTCATATAGGCCCTGGTGTCTGTTGTTCCCTTCTTTGTGTCCATATGTACACAGTGTTTAGTTCCCAGTTATAAGTGAGAACATGTGGTATTTTGTTTTCTGTTCCTGTGTTAGTTTGCTTAAGATAATGGCCTCCAACTCCATCCAGGTCCCTGCAAAGGCCATGATCTCGTTTTTTATGGCTGTATAGTATTCCATGGTGTATAGGTACCACATTTTCTTTATTCAGTCTACCATTCATGGGCATTTAGGCTGATTCTATGTCTTTGGTGAATAGTGAATTGGTGAATTGCATGTCTTTGATGAAGAATGTCTTTTGTGAATAGTATTGTAATGAACCTTCCAGAGCATGTCTTTGTGATAGGATAATTTCTATTCCTCTGGGTATATAACCACTAATGGGATTTTTGGGTTGAATGGTCATTCTGTTTTTAGCTCTTTGAGGAATCGTCACACCGCTTTTCACAATGGTTTAATTAATTCACAATACCACCAACAGTATATGTGTCAGCTTTTCTCAACAACCTTGACAGCATCTGTTATTTTTTGACTTTTCAGTAATAGCCATGAAATCTAGAATTTCTAGTCATTTTTCTTTATTGACTGTAGATGTTATCTTTGCCAGCTCCTGCCCTTTTCGGCAAGGAATCTGAGGCCAAAAACAATGACAGTATTTCCTCAAAATAAACTAGTTGGAGATCATTAGTTTCTGCACAGCACCCTCATCCAGCTTCCTGGCCCACTGTCTTTTTCTGATGCTCTATGCCATAAAGTATGATGTGAATAACAAAATTCTGAGGACTTACAAATTTTATGACCTAGCATCAGCAAAGGTGAATATCTAATAGAAAACACAAAATAATAATAAAGATGGTGACTTTCACTTACCAATGATTGATTTGTCCATGTTGTCCCATCGTGCATAGTTGTCTCCAAGCCAATGTCCTCCCCATCGTCCACCAGTAGGATATGTGGAACGAGAAATTACAATCCCTCTTTTTCCCGTTGTCCTCTGCAATGCACTAATATAGTGGAGAAGTATTTTTGAGTTTTTACACGAGATATTTTCTCCAAATATATCTACTTATGACTACTTTGTAAAAAAAATAGTGATTCGTGGTGCTTATATTGTCTCTTATTACAACTGGCTGTTGACAAGTTTGTCTTCTCTCATTAAACTATAAAATCCTCAGAAGCATAAAGGACATCTTTTTCCCTTCCAACATTTACCAGAGTGACATGCAGGTATTAAGAGGCCTTTATATATTCCTTCAATGAATACAAGTTAAATCAACTATTAATTGAATGAAATCAACAAATTCATCACATCAAGGTTTTATTTTACTTTAATATATTTTTAATAAAGGCCTATGCTCTAATTATTCGTTGTTCCAATCCTTCTCAACTGTAACATATCAACACTTAATGTACATATTACTGTGCAGAGAATGCCTACTATCATACTCTTTGCTTTAAAGGGTTAATTTGATGAGAACAAAATATTCTTGGGTCTTAAAACTAAAACTAATTGATCTATTTCAAGTGTAGAATCTATTGGAAGTAAGATCTTCTCAACAGAATGGGTTGTGTAAATGAAATCATATGATTTATTTCCCTTCTCAGTCTTTGGATAATTAATTTCATGACATGCATGTTAAAATATGTTCTAGTTTTAGAAAAAAAGCAATAATTATTTTATATCATCTGCATCTATTTTCCTCTATCTCCCTTTTTTTCCTTCTGTCTTTCTCTCTGACTGAACACTGAGATTACATTATATGAGTATTAATAACGTTTTACTCTAATATTAGTTGGAAATAAAAATTTTATTTTTATATTACTCAAATAATTTGAACATGAATTAGAGCTACAGAACTATCTTAGAAGAAGATACCACAAAGACATAATCAGGCAGACTTTACTGGGAACTAACACATTATCAACAGCATTGAATCATTTCCTTGTTACTGCTGGATCCCAGTGTTTGTATATATATAAAGCCCCTTCCATGACACCGTGAGATTCCTAAAATCAAGCACGACACTTTAGTCTTCCTTGCATCCCTTATATATAATACAATTCTTGGCATGTAAGCTCAAGAAATTTTGGAATTAACAAATGTCTCAAGTCAAAAGTACAGGAAACTAAACATGTATTAAACAGACATAATATATGAAACCATCGTTTGCTAATAAAGGCAATATTATGTTAGTCAACTTAAAACTTTCTACTTCTAAATTGTCACTCTTTTAGAAGACCAAAAAAAGAAAATGATCTTCACTGCTTTATTTTTTCATAACAAATATAAAAGTGCCATTTAGGAATATTAATCTTTTAAATATACACTACATGCATTTTTTGAAATTTAATAAGAAATAAATATATAATATGAAGAGTAATAATTGGTGATAATTCTATAAATTTATATGAAAATGTATTTTTGGAGTTTAGTTTGCAAACAAAATTTTGTTTAATATAAAAATTATTTACAAGGACAGGGTTGTCACAAATTCTTAATGTGTTCATATGCAAGAAAATTACGTTTCTGAAGAATTTCTTTTTTTTGTCTATTATATACCTTACACTTGCAAAAATTATTTACTGATGCTTTAAATTAATAGCTGAATATATGCTTTCTCAGGTTTCTGATTGATAAGGATACTACATAAAGTAGTTTCACACAATGGGTACAAAGTTATAGTTAGATAGGAAGAATAAATTTAGCAAAGTGACCATAATATATTGTATATTTCAGAATAGCTAAAAGAATTTTAAATTCTCTCCCTACAAATAAATGATAAATATCTGAGAAGATAAATAAGCTAATTAGCCTTATTTGATCATTTCACACTGTATAATGTATGAAAACATCACAATGTGCTCCATATTTACTATTGTTAATTGTAAATTAAAACTATAAAATACATGAAGTATTTTCATAATAATTTTCTCTTAAGGGTATTCTAACCTCTTATATAAGAGAAATCTCCTCTGTAAACCCTCACACAGAATATTTATTTGGCACCACTAAAGATACAAATTTCAAACACGGTAAATATATTATAATTATTTCCAACATTGTTTCAATTTTACAAATTGCTCAGTCACAATTAACTTAGTTTAAGTTATTCTTGAGAAACACCTTTAAGTCAGGGAGCTTGTTCTTTGTTACCACTTGACATTGGAGAGTTCAGCTTATAGGAAAGAGATATTTTTGTTGTGTGTTTATTATTGCCTACATGAGCATTTTCTTGAAATATATTTTAAAAATTAGAATATATCTTTGATTATTATAAAACAGTTTTTTTATAGAAGTAAAACAATTTAGAAACTCTACATGTATATTACAAAAATGAAATATGTGAAGAGAATATTAAATTTAAAAATTTTAAACATATTTTTAAGCTTCCAACAATAAATGAGTATCTTTATTTTTGTCATAGTTTCTAAAAAAAAAATGTTAAATTAATTAACTTGACTATTATCTTTAATTACTGATGAAATCAATTTATAAACATTTTCCAAACACTTCTATCTCATGACTGGATAGTGTTAAATTATTTTAGAATATAGACTGGTGTATAGTAGAGAAACGAAATTATTACAGAATTGTTATCCTCAATTTTATGAAAACAACTCTTTGAAAAATCAAGGATATAATATTGAATTATTTTTGAAGGCAATATATTTAGTATTATGTATTTAGTATTTATTAGAAATATGTATTTTCCCAATTCACATTTCAAATAGTCACCATTAGATCAGAAAATGTAATATCTGTTTTAACTTTGAAATTGGATAACAAGTATTTTGTAGGTTAAAATATTTTCATCGCGTTTTAGTGTATAATAAATTAATGGAATTTGAAATTTTCTTTAGTAAGAAGACAATGTGAAAGACTATATAATGGAAAGAGTTTTATAGATTCATATCTATAAAATTCAAATTTTACATTTTGATATACAAACTGTATCAATGTTCCATTCATCTATATCATTCAGAATCTAATGTCTAGAAGACATGCATTTACTATCTGGTCTGGAGATATACAGCTGATTAATAGAAAGTTACAGCTATAACTAAAGTAACTTCTACGTTAGTGAAGAGGTGAGGTATACTGTGTTTGTTTTTCATAGACTAGTTTTTATTAAAAAAAAAAGTACAAGAGACCACTTCCTATAGTTTACAATTCCCCCACTTCAAAAAGACACTCTTATTTTTTCCAGAAAGTTACATTAAATATAGCAAAGCAATGTAATTTTCCAAGTTGCAAATTATCCCCGTTTATAGGAATATCTGCAAAAATAATTTATAACTATTGACTTTTTCCATTCCATTCTACGATTATAAAACTCTTGGGCACTTATTTAAAAATTATATATTTAAACACAACCTAAGCATTCAGAGAGAGTCAAAGACATTTAATTTTCCAAGTCCCCTCTAATGAATAGTGTGTACTAATCCCTAACATCTTTAAAGCTATTGGTAAAAATGAAAATATATGTGTAGTTACATAATCCTTGAATATTTGTCTGAAATTTAAACCCATAATTTAAAGTAGATTTTTAAATGTATTTCTTTCTACATTTAAAGAATAGGCTTTATTTCAGTACAACATTGAATTTTAAATTACAAGAGACAAGAGCAACTGAAGACTCAAAACTTTTGGTGTGGGATTTCTATATGAAGTTTTTTCTATTTGCCATTGGTGTCCATGATTCTTTCTGTAAAACTATTTGTAGTTTCTCAAGCTGATTAAATCCCATTTCTGAATCCATGCAATCTCTTCTTTTGTTGGGTTTCTTGTTTGTTTCATGTTAAGTGAAAGAGCACAGTATGTCAAGAAATAACTAAATGTCAAATATGTGGCAGTTTGTAAGACAGAAAATATGTCACTAAAAACCAAAATGCTGTGGTCTGTATAACTTGAGAAAAAAAAGTGTGTTTATAATTTGTTCAGTTTTCCTCATTGATAAACAGAAAGACTTTACTCTTCATAATGTGTTTACATGTAACATGTACCTTATTTATAGTATTCTTTTACATTTGTCAAGGTTTTTATACATGTGATTAATAATTAGTCACTAAAATTTTCTGAGTTCAACACTTTTTTGTAACTGAAAAAATTAAAATATTAAGAAAGTATCTGAAACATGAAAAATTTAAGACTGTATAAATTAGGCTACTTAATACTTAATCCAATTAATCTGCTCAATTTAAGTAATGTGGTTGAAACTTGCGCTGAAAAATTTTATGAACAAGAGCAAAATTAGCACTAATAAGTATATGTATATTGATTTCATTTTCAAGGATATTCTATGGAAGATTGTGCTGACTTCCTCCTCATAATTTTACTTAAAAATGGAAAGGGACCTTACATATGTTTTAAATATCTCCGCATATGGACAATTTGGAAATTTACCTGTATCTACCTTGAACTTATCAAAACAACTTTGATACCTGTGATTATAACAGGATAATGATGAATTTATTTAAATTTACTAAGCATCCACAATGTGTCAGGAACCATGTTTGACTCTGTAATGTGCTTCAGAAGTATACTTATTTCCTATCTTCTGTGGAGAGGAATTATTTTTTTTCAATTTTTGTTAAGCTACGTAGTTTCAACTCAAAGCACATAATTTTTGCCAATGAGATCATCAATTTTAAATATTTTGTTCTTTTTAATGTCTACAGTTTTAGTTAAAGTAAATTTAGCTGTCGATAATTATGCCCCAATATTGTGTTCCAGAAGGACTAATCAAAAGTAATATTTGCCCCAATAAAAAGGCATTGTTAAATGCCAGTTTGTTTACTCTTAAAATAACTTAGTGTTTTATTTTTGGATTTGGTGAACAAGTGAATTTTTGGTAATACATTCATCTATTCTGAGTTGATCAAGAGTTAATTGCTAGAAATAAGATAAGTAGGTTTTACTAAGCGAGAAATGTTATCCATACTCTTTACTTCAAAATGCATTTTATTCTTTTATCAACTTCAGTTATTTGTTAGAACAGAAGTTTTCAACCCTGTGTGCTCATTAGAACTGCCTGGAAAAATTTTAAATATTCAGATGCTTAGGTTATAAAAGAGAACAATTAAATAATAATTTATTTAAAAATAACAAGCCTTCTGGTAATTGCAAGTGAAAAAAATACAACAGATATGCAAAATATAAAAAAAACAAGAAATCAAATAACACTAGAGAAAAAGGAAATAGGAAGAAATGAAAGAGGAATGAGAAGACCATTAAACAACCAGAAAACAAATAACAAATGATGTGAGTTATGTCCTCACTTATCAGTAATGAAATTGAATATAAATGGACTAAACGCTCCAATCAAAAGACACAGAGTGACTGAACAGATTAAAAATAAAGACTTAATGAAACAGTCAACAAAGTGAAAAGATAAACCACAGAATGGGAGAAAATATTTGCAAAATACTCATTTGACAAGGGATTAATGACCAGAATATATAAGGAGCTCAAACAACTCTATAGGAAAAACTATTAATATTCTGATTTAAAAATGGGCAAAATATTTGAATAGGCATTTCTCTAAAGAAGATATACAAATGGAAAACAGGCATATGAAAAGGTGCTCAACATCATTGATCATCAGAGAAATGCAAATCACAACTACAATGAGATATCATCTCACCCTAGTTAAAACGGCTTTTATCCAAAAGACAGCCAGTAACAAATGCTGTGGAAGCTGTGGAGAAAAGGAAAAGCTCTTTCACTGTTGGTGAGAATGTAAATTCATACGACCATTGTGAAGAGCAGTTTGAAGTTTCCCAAAGAACTAAAAATACAGCTACTATATAATCCAGCAGTCCTGCTGCTGAATATGCATCCAAAAGAAAGATATATCAAAATGATATCTGCCGTCCTATGTTTATTACAGCACTGTTCACAATAGTCAAGTTCGGAAGCAACTTTAGTGTCCATCAACAGACGATTAGATAAAGTAAATACGGTACATATATACAATGGAGTAATGTAGCTATAAAAAAGAATAAAATTGTGTCACTGGCAATGACATGTATGAAACTGGAAGTCATTAAATGTTAAATGAATTAAGTCAGACACAGAGAGACAAACTTCACCTGTTCTCACTTACTGTGGGTGCAAAAATTTTAAAAACACACAACACTGAACTCATGTATATAGACAGTAGAAGGATGGTTACCAGAAGCTACGAAGGGTTGTGTGGGGGTGAGGGGAAAGCAAGTGTTATGGTTTGGCTTTGTGATTCCACCAAATCTCATCAGGGATTGCAATCCCCACCTGCCAAGGGAGCAACCTGGTGGGAGGTGATTGCATCATGGGGGTGGTTTCCCCTATGCTGTTCTTGTAATAGTGAGTGAGTTCTCATGGGAGCTGATGCTTTTAAAATATGGCAGTTCTCCTGTCACTATCTCTGTCTCCTAAAGTCATGTAAGATGCACCTTGCTTCCCCTTCACATTCTGCCATGATTGTACGTTTCCTGAAGACTCTCCAGCCACGCAGAACTGTGAGTCAATTCAACCTCTTTAAATTGCCCAGTTTTTAAATAAACATCTTTAAATTACCCAGTCTCAGGTAGTATCTTTATGGAAGAGGGATAATAGACTAATACAGCAGGGATGGTTAATGGGTACTATATATACATATATGTATATATAGTTAGAAAGAATGAATAATATATAGTATTTGATAGCACAACAGGATGATAGTCAATAATAGTTTAATTGTATACTTAAAAAAAAAAAACTAAAAGTTTAATGGGATTGTTTGTAACACAAAGGATAAATGCTTGAGGGGATAAATACTTCTGTTTTCCATGACGTGATTATTGTGTGTTGCATGTTTGTATCAAAGTATATCACTTACCCAATATATATGCACACCTACTATGTGCACGTGACACTTTAAAAAAAAATCTAAAACTTAAGAAGAAAATCTCCAAGTGATTATAATGTGTAGTTAAAAGCCAGGGATCTACAACTGTGGTGTCTAATATGGTAGCCACTAATTATTATTTCATATGTAATTATTTTATATTACTTAATTAAAATGAAATAAATTTTAAATTCTATTCCTGAGTCATACTAGACATATTGTTCAATGGCCATGTATGGCTGGTGAGTACCACATTGGCACCCAGGATTATAGAAGATTTCTATGTATTTATTTATTTTTTCAGCCAGGTTCTTGTTTTGTTGCCCAGGCTGGAATGCAGTGGTAGGAGCACAGCTCACTGCAGCCTCAACTTCCTAGGCCCAAGTGATCCTCCTGTCTCAGCCCACCAAAGTGTTGGGATTACAAGCATAAGCTACTGTGCCTGGCCAGAAAATTTCAATCGTTGCAAAACTTGTGTTGGAAAGTTCTGATAAAGAATTGATTTTCAGTGAATGGTCTGTATTCCATCATCATTGGCCTTACATAAATGTTTGTTAAAAATGCAGATAATTAGTATGATCATTAATATTTCAGAAGTTCAAGATCATTAAAAATGCTCTTATTTACTAATAATAAATTTATTTATTTTGTGTTTTTATTTTTATTTTGAAACAGAGTCTTGCTCTGTTGCCATGCTGGAGTGCAATGGCACAATCTCGGCTCACTGCAACCTATGCTGCCCAGGTTCAAGCGATTCTTGTGCCTCAGCCTCCCGAGTAACTGGGACCACAGCTCTGCACCACCACTCCTGGCTAATTTTTTGTATTTTTAGCAGAGATGGAGTTTCACCATGTTGGCCAGGCTGGTCTTGAACTCCTGGTCTCAAGTGATCTGCCCGCCTCGGCCTCCCAAACTGCTGGAATTACAGGCGTGAGACACTGTGCCTGGCCTGATAATGAATTCAAATAACGAATTTAGGCAAACGTTTGGTGCTTTATGTGTTAATGACATCAAATTATATGTTATTAACTCATTTACTAACATTATTAGTATTATTTATTGAGCACCTACAATTTGCCAGACACTATAATGTGTACATAATGAGGAACAAAAGACAAATGGTCTAGGATTTATTTTGGGATAGTATAAAAATTAGAATAATAACAATAAAGATATTTAGATAAATTAGATAGAAAGAAACACAATTTTTCTAAATTCTATGAAGGAAGAAGTTACAGAGAACAATTGGAAAGTAAAGGGATACAAGAGAAGATTGTTGGGATGGTTAAAATGATAGCATTAAATATAAGATCCAAAGAATAGAAGAGTCCGAGGGGATAATTCAGAACATTGCTTACTCATAAGTAGGTTTCATTTGTGACCATCCATAGAGATTGTGAACATCGTAATGCAAAACTGATGTTCCATCACTAAGAATCTGCTCAGTTTCCATGCACATTGTTCTGAAATGTAATCCATCGGTTCTTTTTGTGAGTTCTGGAAAGAATCAGTGAAAAAATATTAATGTGTTATACAGTTCCCTACAATGAAATGTGTAACTCATAATTATGTATTCTTTGGCAAAGATATTAATCAGTGTTTTATAATAGCTATTTTTATTTTAACCATGTGTATACTTTGTATGAGTTAATTATAAACTTAAATGGTCTGAAATTGTAACTGAATTACATGAATTAATAAAAACCTGGAAAATAAGTACACTCCTCAATGTCTACTCTTTCTAGTGCATTTAGGTGGAAAACACTGATTAGAATCTTATTAAAAATTCACTTGGTATCATAAAGCCCAGAATTTAAGAGCTAGGCAAATGTTGTAACACTGCCTTTTGATTCACTTTTTCTCAGTTTAAGATTTTTTTCCAGAGTTTTGCCATCACTTTATATGCTAATAGTTTGTGACGTTTTCTGCCTGCATAAGAGAATGATGATGAATATGAAACATCACATTAATCTTCATTTCCTTCTATGTCAAAGGTAAACAGAGAAGTGTTAGTATTCTTTCCCTTATCCTTAGTAAAGAAACACTTAAAAAAATCCTTTCAAAATAATTTCATTTGTTTATCTTAAAGAGTATTTAACATTTTTGAATTTGGGAAAATTATTAAGCCAACCAAAATAACAAATTCAAACAAATTTAGAATTGTGCTTGAGTAGATAACATATATTTGTAGATTTTTTTTTTTCTCAAAATAGTGTTAAACAATATTGGTAATGGGTTAAGGTGTGGTCCAGTGTGTGGGTGGGTAGTGAAAATTGGGTGTGTAAATCCTAATCCCTACATTCTATATATATCTAACATATATATATGTTTATATTATATACCTATTAAATAATAACAACATGATAATATCAAAGGCATACCAACAATATTGTACCTGGGAAATAAGGTGGATAATTTAGTTTGTCATTTCTGCATTGATTAGTAGTTGTTCCATTTACAAAACTTGATGGCTCATTCATATCCTTAAAAAAAAGACGACAGAGAAAGGTAAACAAAAAATAAATTTACAACATATATTCTGAAAAGAGCTAGTTCAAAAAGTAAGTAGGTTGGCATATTTGAACAATGTTACATATACTCACTATCCTAAACAAACAAAATTATAAAACATCTCAATTATATTAGTTTATCTCGTTCGCTTTTTTCAGTTTCCTTTTGAAAAATAAAATGTTCTATTTTCTCTGTATTATTCATTATACCTATAAAAAGGTTTATTTTCATATTTTTAAGACCTAGCTTTATAATAGTATGTGCCTTATCATCTCCTTCCCCTCCACTCCTGCCCTGAGCCTGATACCAATTGCTTTTACTGCTAAAACTACAAGATATATTAATAGTTTACAAATGCAGATAATTTCAAGAAGTATCACCATTGAGCACATATCTCAGAATCTCAGTAGTCATATATAAAAGAATCATGATCTAAATAAATAAGTAAGCTACCATTTAAAATGGATTGCCTCCACCTGAAAACAGATAATTTTCTCTGGATCCAGATGTCATTCTCAGGAATATACTTAAGAGAATCCCTTTTAGTATACCAATTGATACATGTAATAAACATAGATGTTCCATGAATTTTTTAACAAAATATATGCTTTGTAAGATCTTATAGCCACAAAATTTCCACATGGTGACAGCTGTATAAAGCTTTCTTCAATTTCAAAAATAAGTAAATTAACGCTTTACCCTGGAAAAATCAACAAATTAAAAAATTTCACCTCCAGAAACAGAAATATATTACATCACATTTTCTGTATTAAGCACTTACTTTTAGCAAAGTAAATTATTTTTTGCTATCTCAAAAATACATTAATAAAAATTTTACTACTAACATTTTAAGGTTACATCAAAAAAGAAACTTTAAAAGACAATATTACCAAATTTAAGAAATTTTTATTTCTTATACAAAGGACTAATGGTTATTTAAGCCTGAGACTTATTCCTATATTAGGTAAAAGTAAAATAAATGTTTACAAGTATTTATTAATATATATAATAAGAGGGTATTTTGCTTTTTGAATTTTGCAAAATGAAAAAGTCCAGGAAATAGCATCCATACACATAAATTTAATTTTTAAAACTGTAGCAGTCCTTTGCATAAGAAAATTCTATGGGGGAAAAAAGTGGACTAGTTTTCCAATAAAATATTTTATTGACATTATTTGAGCCAAGTATGAATTTTGCATAATCACTGTACAACAAATAACTTAAAACGTAGATTGTTCAAAGTTTACTTACAATCCACAAACCATCAAACTTCATCTTTTCATTGTAAAAGTCCACAATTTCTCTGGCCCACCACTCTGCTGTGGAAGTCCTGAAGAAATCTGGAAAAGCTGCATGAGCTCTGGAAGCCTGTAAAACCAAAATTTAGACTCACATTTGGAAAGTCTTAAGAGAGATTATATACATATAAATCTAAATGTATCTGGCAGATTCACAAGTCATGTATGACTGATAATGAAGGCAATTGACATCAACCTTAATTACATAAATGTATGTGGTTTCTTCCTCATCACTTTAATAAAGAGGGACGTCAGAGGAGAGAATAGAGCCGTCCTGGGATTCTATGTGAATTATAAAGGAACAGTTCAGAACCCACAAAAGCATCCTTTTAGTGCTTCCTAGAGTAATGAGGAAGCTTTTTTTTTCTTCACTATTACTGTAGAGCCCATACTTCAGGTTTACCTTTATGGAGCACAATGAAAGAGCAAAGGGCCATAGTAAAGCCTGTTTTTATACAGCTTCCTCACTTCCCAGAACCATCTCACCACCCTAATCAACTGCTTCTTTTTCATCTTTCACTTCTAATCCTTTTCATCCCAGCAGAGAAGAGGTGTTTTATTCCATTCTCTACTAAGAATATTCCCTACTTGCCAGTTGAAACATATAAGTTCCAGTGTCAGAGTAACCGTGCCTTAGCAAAAGATTGACCTGCAGCTAAGTTAATTGGATATGTCTCAAAAACATGACATGACGACCTGGATGCTTTTTTGGCACATGTTAAGATTCTGTTGTAATTGCCTTAACAGTCTTCTCCATGAACAGGATATCGGAGGACATAAAGAAAATGCACAGAGTGGGGAATATAGAGATTTACAAAATATGTATGATGGATTTTTTTTTTTTTTTTTTGAAGATAGAGTTTTGCTCTTGTTGCCCAGGCTAGAGTGCAATGGCATGACCTCAGCTCACTGCAACCTCTGTCTCCCACGCTCAAGCGATTATCCTGCCTCAGCCTCCAGAGTAGCTGGGATTACAGATGCCCCCGACCACACCTGTCTAATTTTTTGTATTTTTAGTAAAGACGGGGTTTCACCATGTCGGTCAGGCTGGTCTCAAACTCCTGACCTCAAGTGATCCACACACCTCGGCCTCCCAAAGTGCTGGGATTACAAGCATGAGCCACTGTGCCTGGCCTCTGATGAATATTTTTAAGAGTAGAAAGGGACTTACTTTTATCATCTTACCCATTAATTACATTTTACTCATAAGGGCAGAAGGCTTGGTGGGATTATATTGAATATTTTCTATGCAAGAATCTCCCTTATGATAATTAACAACAAATGGTAGCGCCAGATCTTGTTTATTAATTTTCACTTTTTCTGCTCTTTACATAATTCATTTTTTTTTTTTTTTAGTTTAACTTATTCTATTATGTGGCTGCTTCTATCCCTTAAATAAAAGCATTCATTATATCCAGAAAATCAGTCAGGTACATGTAATCCAACACTCTTGATACCTTTTGTGGAAGAGAATCCGAAAAGATTCTGCATAAGCCATTCTACATAAATTGACACTGTCCTCTAATACCTATATAAAAATTGATGCTTTTCTCTCTAGTGGTACACAATATTACTCAAGAATAGTGGGCAGAACTCAAGTTGAAATAACACTTTTTCCTCAATGACAAAGTTTAGTAGGTTCAATTATTTGACTCTGTTTTAGAAGTAGTTTGGGGTAAGTTTTAAGCTCCCAAATTTTTTACACTTATGTAAACTTGTATAATTTAATGATTATAAATTCATCTGGCTAAAAGAAGGATCACCAGCTCTTAGTTTTGTTGACATTTTTCTATTCATTTTGTATTTTTCCTTTAATTTTTACTCCTCTAATCCTTATTCTCTTCCCTCTGCTAACTTTAAGTTTATTCTTTTTCTACTTCATTGAGAGGTAATGCTAGGTTATTTATTAGAGATTTTTATTATTTTTAATGTGGGTGTTTCTTGTCATACACTTCCCTCTTAGTACTGCTTTTGCTGCATCCCAGAAATATTTTTGCTATGTTGTATTTTTATTTTTGTTTGTCTGAAGAAATTTTCTAATTCTCTTTTGATCTTTTCTTTGTTCCACTGGATGTTCAAAAGTGTGTTGTTTAATTTCCACATATTTGCGAATTAACTTATTTCCCCTCTTTTTCTGATTTCTAGTTTAATTTCATTGTGACTGGAAAAGATAAATGGTATGTTTTCTATCTTCTTACAATTTTTAAGGCTTATGACTTAACCTGTGATCGCTCTTAGAAAATGTTCTATGGGCACTTGAGAAGAATGTATATATGGCTGCTTTTGAGTGGAAAGTTCTATGTATGTCTGTTAAGTCCATTTTGCCTACAATGTTGTTAAAGACTGCTGTTTCATTGTTGATTTGCTCTCTGGTTGTTCTATTTATTATTGAAAGTGTGGTAACAAAGTCTTCAAACATTATTACATTGCTATTTCTCATTTCAGTTCTGTTAATGTTTGCTTTAAATATTTAAGTGTTTTAATATTGAGTGCATGTATTTATAATCATTGTATCTTCCTAATGAATTGACCCTTTTGTCATTCTATAATGACCTCTTTTGTCTTTTGTGACAGTCATTGACTTAAAATTTATTTTCTCTGATATAACTATAGCTACTCCTGTTCCCTTTTGGTTATCATTTGCATTTAATATCTTAGTTATTCCTTTTGCTTTCAAGAATGAATGTTTAGGATATTATACTGAGTAAAATAAACCAGTAACAGAAAGACAAATGTTGTATGACTCAACTTACATGAAGTATCTAAAACAGTTAAACTCATAAAACATAGGGTAGAATGGTAGTTGCCCAGGACTGTAAGTGGAGGGAAATAAGGGCTTGCTAAGAAACAGGCATAAAATCTCCATTATGCAAGGTAGATAAATTCTAGAGGTCTGCAGCACAACATTGCCCCCATATTTTACAATGATTTATTATATGCATAAACATTTATTAAGATGGTAGGTCTCATGTTAAGTGTTATTCCTGTAATAACTTTTTTTTTTTTCTTTTTCTTTTTTTTTTTTTTGGTTGCCCAGGCTGGAGTATAGTGGCGTGATCTAGGCTCACTGCAAGCTCCACCTCCCAGGTTAACACCATTTTCCTGCCTCAGTCTCCCAAGTAGCTGAGACTACAGGCTCCTGCCACCACAACTGGTTAATTTTTTTTTTTTTTTTGTATTTTTAGTAGAGATGGGGTTTCACCATGTTAGCCAGGATGGTCTCAAACTCCTGATCTCATGATCCACCTGCCTTGGCCTCCCAAAGTGCTGGGATTATAGGCATGAGTCACCGTGCCAGGGCATAATTTTTAAAATAAAAGAAGGAATGCTTGGATTACATAAAGCAAAATATAAAATTGCTTAATAGGCTGACTTATACTTTGTTATTGAGGAAAATTAGGTAAATTTGATCTAAATATGGTCTGATATAGATAACTTAAAATGGCCATCTATTTTTAAAGAAAAGAATTCAAATTGAGTTAATGATTAAAATAATGAAGCCTAAGTTTTGAATTTCTTTTCATTATATAGTTAGCCAAAGTAAAACTTACATTAACAGCTTCATCTTCAGTTAGAGTTTTATCTATTGTTATATTGGGCAAATCTGGCCAAACCTACAAGAGACAAGACATGGAAAAGCAGATCAAAACGTAGTCAGCATGATATGATTCCTATGTAAATGAAGTGTAATGGAGTATTAGAGGCATATTATTAACCCAAAGTCTTCAGATCTGTAATCCCTTCAAATATCATTATTATTGGCATACATATCATTTGCAAACTATTCCCATTTTCCATGTTAGTCTACCCTTTAATATGGCAAATACAAAATAGAAATGTCAACCTTTATGGTAGTTAGTGATTTTGAAAATAATACATATAACCAAAATGTTCTGGTCAAAAAAGAATATGAAAAATATATGCTAAATTTAATTTAATATAGTATATTTGAACTACATCTAGAATTACTCCAGGGTTAAAAACTAAAAGCAGGGTTTTTTTTGTTTGAAAGGAAGAAAAGATCTGATTGAATAATGTCATGCTGAGTCAAACATCCCATTGACTTTCAGAATTAGTACTAAATCCTCCTCTGCCTTCATCCCACCACTATTCTCAGCCTGACCTCATTGCCTACCAACATTTTTTCTTCCTTCTCCTCCAATCAGAAACACACAAAACAGAGCTCAAATTCAGTTTGCCAAAAGCTCTGGAAATTTGAATCTATATTGTAGAAGTTAGAAAGTCCTATATAAAAATATAAATAATCCATCAAAAAGGAATTATTTACAAGAGATTAGCTACTGACAGAGAATAGTGCTCTAAAGGAAGGGGAGAAAGGGTAGAAATCTGACAAAATGTGTAGAAATACAGAATGAGGAGAAAGTAGGGAGTTTAAAAAAAAACCTTCTGGACTAATATGCCTCTCAAGTAGCTGGGGCTACAGGCATGCACCACTATGCCTAGCTAATTTTTAATTATTTTGTAGAGACAAGGTCTCCCTGTGTTGCCCAGGCTGATCTCGAACTCCTGGGCTCAAGAGATCTTCCTACCTCAGCCACTCAAACTGCAAGCATTACATGCATGTGCCACTGTGCCCAGCCCTGTCTATACTCTTCACTCAGCTTTCTCTAATGTTAACATGTAATATAACAATAGTGAACTTATCAAAACCAGGAAATTAATGTTGATACAGTACAACAAACATTTACCGAACATGTTTGCATTTCACAGATTTAATCACTAATGTCTTAATATCAGTCCAAGATTCAAAAAGCCTCTCACATTTCATTTAACTGTGTCTCTCATCATAGATTTTTTGAGGATTTTATCATTGTTGTTCATTCTAGTTATTACTATGAGATTTTTTCTTGATTGCTTTATATAAAAGTCAAATCAAAATATTTTTGTAATATATTAATATATCAGGTCTGAATATAATTGCTTATATAAAATACAGTGAATTATACTTCATGATCTAAGTTTTAACTATAAGTATAGCTGTCAAAACATGTTGTTGCTACTATTAACAATATGTTTTTAAGAGAAGTGAACATTTAAATATCTTGCAGTACAGAATAATGAGTAGCCATCTTACTAATGGTAGTTTTATAATAAATTACAAGTGGTACCAAGAAATATAATAAAATACATCTTAAAAATTAAACAAATCATATTTGGATATGTGATTTATATGAATTCTTTCTTTGTGTCTAATAATTTGGAATGAACCAAAGACTACACATTATTTTATTAGTTATTAAATCATTACATTTCTGTATAGCTCTCATGAACGTTTTTAACTTTTACTAATTAAATGGAAACTTTCATTGAAATATAATTTTTGTATTTATTCCATTTCAAGATATCGATTTAGTACCTTTGCCCAACAAATATCACTGGTGTTTGGCCATTTGACAAAGACATCATTCTGCTGTCCTCTTTCAAATGCAGGGTAAGTCCTTGTTTCATTTCCTGAAATTGCTGGATCCTAAAATTAAAATGAAATATAAACAAAGTACACATGAAAAAAAGCATAACTACTTGGACAGTGGTTATGAAGCATAAGTTTTCATTACTACATTATCATAATAATGTGCTCTCACATGAAATGACAAATGATATAAACATCAGTGTTCTAGCTAGATTGCCCTCCAAATTTCTTAGAAGGAAATTCTAAGGACTGTCAGAAATGCATTAGCTATCATTTCAAGCAAGATTAGTAGAGGTTTTTGTTTTTATTTCTATGGTGAGCTATCTGGCTACCTAGCTTACTTCCTATGTTAGTGATAAAAAATTATCCTCACTGAATCACCAATCTGAAGGCAAATTTTTAAATACAAAAAACATCAGAAGCAATACCAGAGAATGACTTAATAATTATATAAAAATAGAAACTCTACCATTACATTTTGATAACTCCCATAAATAGAGACCTATTTGTAGCTTGGATGATAACTAGAAAACAGCTTGCCTTTAACTCAGTTTTGGATTTAAACCTCTAGGGATATACCGAAATAAAAAGGTAGCTGATCACAACCCATGCAAATAAAATGAAGTGCTAAAGGAAAAGAGTTTTAGATTTGGGAGTATTATCCAAAGTTATATACTTTCTATTTTTGAAACACCTTCCTCCTCCTCATTTTAGGAGAATTAATAGAAACAAGAAATAAGACCCAGATAAACTCCAAGTACTGACCAGGATAATAATGTATCTCATTCCTTCTCCTCTTATTTTGTCAACAAACTGAGGAAGGTCCTGGAATGCTTCACCAATTGTAAAGTCTAGCTGCCTTTCCATGTAATCAATGTCTGTGTACTGAACATCCTGAAATACACAAAAAATCATCACAGTATGGCAAAAAATACAAAATAGTAAATGTATCATATTTTATTATACCTATAAAAGTAACAGCAAAATGAAAGTTTGAGTTCCTCCTCACTAGCTCTTAAAAAGAATTAAGTGGTTTACTGTTCAAGGAATAAAAGTAGCATGTAAAGATATGAGGTATTCTAAGAACAACTTTCTATAAATGTTCTGTTTTGTTGACAGTTCATTTAGTAATTTTGATTTAGAGGTAAAAACTGTTCTAAATTGATATATATTATGTAATTTTCAAAGGAAACAGACACTGGGCAATAGTATTTATGATGCTATGAAATTAGGTTACATGACAAATAGGAATTTTGTACAGTATATACAGAAAGAAGTGTTGCTGTTTCTGGGAACTATACAGCAAATGTTGGATAATTTCAAATAATTCTAATATTGGCAAAAGGAGTATTACCAATTACATCAATTACTATGATCTGATTCTTGTAATATCCATCAAAGTCATTTTTAGGATAATAGCCCTGCTTATATAAACAAGAATTGCTGTAAGATAGGTAATTGCAAGTATGTTTAAACCAACAAATATTTGCATTATATCATGGAATATTCAATTTAAGCCTAAATACAAAATTTGTTAATTATTTTATATTATTTGACATTATCTCAAATTCTTCTTCGAGGTATCATAGAAAGTATGGTCAATAATGTATACCTCCTTTTAAATAATAAATTTCCACTTGCATGTTTCTGTATGGTCAACATACATAATTAATTTCCCATGCTAGTTATTCAGGAACCCTATATTGGACCCTACTATAAATACCAATGTCTTATAATGAGGTTTTTCTGATTGTTCTTAGAATAAACTCTTATATATCAAGTCTTCTATATTTTAATGTTTAGGTATTACCAGCAGCAACCCAAGGTTCCTTAATTTTGCTAAATAATGACGAAATTTAGAGATTGATCGTTTGTGGATACTTTGGAATATTTAGCTTCCTGAATATTGAGTGAATCTGTACTATATATTACAACTATTATCTATTCCAGGGCAAAAAAAAATTGTTTCCACATCCAACTTGTTCTCCGGTTGATGATACAGATTCTTATCTTGTTGACAATACACATTTCTGTGAACTCTAACATGAAGAGAACATAGTGACTGCCTGTGCAACCCAGAGTTTGTGAGAGGAAAGCAAGTGCACAGTAATTTGTTTAGCACAACACAGCATGATATAATTAGGGAGGGAAAAGGAAAAGGAATGGTATTTCTTCCTCTGTTTTATCTGTCTGACAAAGACACTGTATATAAATCTCATACCCAATACATAAGGTGCTAGTAAAAAAAGAAGCATGTCTAATTAAAGTATAATGCTTAAATTAATTTTAAAGTATACATGTTTAATTATTTCATTCTACTTTTACATATTACATATTTAACATTGTTTTAAAATTAATATACATACATAGGAGATGTTCGCAGCCACCATAGCGTCATATAATTCCCGAATCTCTGAAGTATTTGCATATCCATAACGACATAATTGGAATCCCAAAGCCCAATAAGGTGGCATGACTGGATGGCCAATTACCTTTAAAAAAAATTCACGTGTGAATAAGAGAATTACTTGATGCTATAAACATTTTTAATTTTGTTTAAAGAAATATACAATCATACTTCATGGTATTGCTTTGTTGAAACTTCTGGAGTTGGGCCCAAAAACATATAAAAATCCAAGATTCCTCCAACTGTGCGGTAAGTTAGAGCAGGAGTTGGCTGGAATGTCACATCTGGAAATTCAAAATAAGATTCCATTTTTATCTACATATATTAGTTTATAAAAAAGTCATATAAAATAAGAGATGTTCAACAAATGATGTTTTTACCCATTGCATTGCTGTTGAGTAAGAGAACACTGTGAGCATTGCCCTCCTCTTCCAGAGCCATATAATAGGGATGAAATCCATAGGAATTAAGTTTGTACTGAAATATAAAAATTAAGCACAATATATTTTAAGTAACAATAGCATGTGAATTTAATCAATGTTATTTTACAATTTATTATATAATCAAGCTGTGGTATTTAAATTCCTCTTTTCCCGAACCTTAAACCATGCTTCAGTTAAAATAAATGTGTCTCCCTAGAAAATAATTGTTTAAATTTTTCCTGCTTTAGAGTAGTTTACAAATATTTTTATATAATATTTGTATATTAATAGAAATTAATTTCTATTAATTTCTAATAGAATAAATAACTTCTAATAAACATAAGTTATATGTAGAAATCTAATAACTTCTAATAAACATAAGTTATATGTTTAACTTATCTATAAACTGGTATTTTTTCCATAGTAAAATGCCCTAGAAATGATAAAAGTGATGAATACAATTAAACTGTCCAGAAAATATCTTGTTTATATATTTTATATTTATAGAACATTTACATTTTTATATTTATAAAATATTTAATTCATTGATACTGTAATCATAGTCAGATATTATTAGATTATATACTTTTGATTCTTAATATAATATATAAAATTACCATTGAAAGTGATTTTGTAGTAATTTATTTTCAGTAATATACAAAATTACTAGTGAAAGTAATTTTAGATATCAATAATCAAAAGTATATTAATCTAATAATATCTGTACAAATGCTGAAGGGATTTTAAGAAATCAGTTTTGCTAAAACGTATTCTTTCAAGTTAGTGTTAATAGAAAACAGCCTTCAATAACCTAACTTTGGAGTATTATGTTATAAATGCAAGCTCTTTGAGCACCTAACAATAAAAAATGCTTACAATAGGATGCAAACTTATAGTATGCTACTGAGTATATCCTTTTAAGTACACATCACATGTGAAAAATACAAATAGAATAATTTTTGTTAAAATATATTTTTATGATATGTTTGGAATATTATAGATAATATTATTTGTTGTACAGTACATTAAATATTCATAAAATGTGTTGTATTAACAAGACAAATCTTTGGAAAAAGTGTCATGAGTACATAAAAACACATTGTAAAGATGTAATTTGCAGTTTGGCCACATAAAATTACACAACTGCAACTGTGGTTTATAAAGGGAAAAAAGATCAAATCAGTATCTGAGAAGTAAAAAACAATCAAGGAAACCGTTAGGCAGATATTTTCTATACTGGAGTAAAGGTAAACTTGACTGGGAATACAGAATCAGCATATCCTTTCTATGCATTTGAAACAGTTAAGGTATTGAGTCAAAGCCTGGCTTCTCACAGTAGTCAAGCAAATTGTTATCCATCCACTCCTCTGCTTCCACCTGTAATTTCTGGTGACTTTTTGGGTTTGTTTCTCAGAAAATTGCTATAGCTGCTCTGGAGATCGCTAACTAATGCCTTTGTCATTGCTTCAATCCTAAAGCACAGGTCTATAAAGAAGTGGCTTGGATTCTACTCATAGTCTTAGTTGCCTCATGGAGTGGTCACATGTTGGTACCTACACCAGGGGGTTGGTCTCTTGTGAACATTCCCCAAGTATTCCAGTTCAGATCTCGCTTAAATGCTGTATGTTCCACTTCCCCAAAACCATATATGTATTCTGATGGCAGGCGAGTCGATATTTGAATGAACTGATCATTAAAAGCAAATCCAGGCAGCGAAGAATCCCAACTGAAAACAAAAGAAAATAAAGCTATGTCTGTCAAAATGCATGCAAAATAGTATCACAAATGATAATGGTAATTATTTCTTAAATTATCAAAAAATCAATATGTTTTCTATAGTCCTAATTATACCCAGGTACCAAATGGAAATAGATAACTATTCTAATACATTTTTTCTTTTAGCTAAGTTAAGGAATATGTAAAATATGTTTCGTACACTTATAGGGGAATCATAAATAATATGATTGTACATGTCCTTCTTTAGACAAGTATTCGTTTTAAAAATAAAATTAATATGAAATCATCAATGACTCAGTAATGTGTGACCTAGAAATTAAAAGTTCTCAATTTTCTTGCTCCCTTGAGTTAATCACAATACACTTTTTTCTACATGTAGAATAAAAATAAATCAATATTATAATGAATTTTAAGTTTAATGGATATTTAAATGTTGAACTCTTGTCAATTACTACTCCCAATTGTGTTTTTCTTCCTTTATTTTATGTTCATAAAAATAGTTGTGTATGAAGTAATATGTTTCAAGAAACATATTATTCAACTCATTTGCAAGAACATAAAGGAGGATGGAAAGTAACATTGGCAAGGAGAGGAAACGTAAGTATTACAAGTAATCTGGGCATATTTTAACTTTTTATATTTATTATTTTGGAAAACTAATTGAGAATAATGCTTGCCAAATGACAATGAATAATGCCCTTGCACCAAGATATTTTTATAAAGTGACTTAACTTCACATGTTTTTGAACAAAAATATTGTCACAACAACAAAATTATTAAAATGATCCAGATATAGTTTTAGTCATTATTTATTTGTACATATCCTGACAATACCAGAAAACATCCTGATAACATCATCTAAGGAATGGCATGGCAAACTTAAATTACATAAAAGTATATTTCAATATATTATAGTTTCTAGATATTTTGAATAAAGACCATAATTTTAAAATTAAATTTATTCATTGTAACATAAAAATATATCTAGACTTATGTGTTGTAACTTATTTTCACTAATACATGGCAGATAAATTATTAATTCTATCAGATTCAAGCACTAATAAACTATTTCAACAGTTTTAATAAATATTTACTTCATTTGTTTCCAAATACTTATTTTTGCCAACACTCTTCATGCTTTTTAAAAGAGGTTTTGGTTTTGGTTCTCAACTTGATTAGAAGAATGAATCTGATACTAATAGTGAAATTGAACACCTCTAAACTGTAGATAAAATTGTGGGTCAATCCTTTAAAATAGTCCCATGGACTATGTTTGGCTAGAAATATTAAAATGGGCAAAGTTATTTAACACAACTTAAATTTTTTTGTGTGATGCTACTCTAGGACAGTGAAGGTTGTTAATCATTTTACTTTTCCGATCCTAAGCTGAAATTAAAATATCCTTTATATCAAATCATTCAATCACTTACATAACTCTTCCAGTGCTTCTGCGTCGAATCTGGATGCCAAAAGGATTTTCCTTGATTTCAACATCATAAAGTCTGTTTTCATAAGTACTTATTGGGGCGTCTGGAATGTTTAACGGTACTGGAACTTCATATCTCTTATTTTGGGGATCGTAAATCTATTGCAGATAAGTAGTAAAAAAGTTTACTCTGATTGTTGACAGCATGTACATGTCATGAAATAATTTAAATAATGGCTCAAATAAGAATATTTAGATTTTTTCTCCATATAATTTCTAACTCTACATTCATGGTCCATATAACCATATCAATATAGAATTTCATATACACATTTATAATGGGACCAAACTGAGTACTGCATTTTTGAACCTTTAAAAATTGTTTTGTGATTTGTTTTCTATACAATAAGATCAAAACAGAAATTTTAGAGCTAAATATTCTATAGTATGGGTATACCAACATTATTTCATGGTTAAAAACAGAAGTTGTTTCAATATTTTTTGTCATACCTATGATTATACAATAAACCCTAATGCTAATTTATGTTTATTTGTGTTTTTATTTCTTCAGCACATTTCTTAAATACCTCTAGGGACTGAGTATACTTACCGTTTTAGGGTCTTTGATAACTATTGACAAACTGCTTTCCAGAATTTGTTTACTGATTAATATTCTCACCAAAATGTGTACTCTAGTGCTAATTTATGTTAAATTAAAAGCATTTATTTTTCATTGTTATTCATTTCATTTCTTATGAGATTTCATCTTTTTCTACATTATTACCATTTATGTTCCACTGTACTTTAAATTGCATTTTGTTCCTAGAATTTTTAATGAGTGTAATTATCTTGATATTTTAGTTTCTTCTGTTAAATGTCTTCTTATGAGAGGTTTTGATATTTTTTCTTGATTACATGGGTTGAAATTGCTTTCCCTAAGTCACATATTTATCAGATATTTACCCATTTTTTGTCTTCTAATTGTGTATAGTGGTTTTCCATGTGAAAACATGTTTTATTTGTATGTAAGAAAATGTGTAGATTTTTACCTATGTCACTTATGCCTTTTTATCTGTGGCTTGAAAGGCCTTTGCTAGCCAGATACAAAATAAATATGCAGTTAAATTTGTTTTAGGCTATGTTTAGTTTTCACATGCAACTCATTCTAAATTTTATTTTAGTATATGATAAAAAAACAGACACTTTTCTATATAAATTATTAAATAACCTACTTCTTCATTATTAATTTGCAAACCTTTCTTCACACACACGTATCTTCTATGCTTTTGTGTCATCACACACACACACACACACACACACAATCTTCTATGCTTTTGTGCCATCTCTCACACACACACACACACACACACAATCTTCTATGCTTTTGTGCCATCTCTCACACACACACACACACACACACAATCTTCTATGCTTTTGTGCCATCACACACACACACAATCTTCAATGCTTTTGTGCCATCTCGTTTCAATAAACAATCAGGCAATTCTATCTCCAGTTCCACACTGTTTTAATTATATGAATTTTTGTTCTTTACCCTTGCTGAATTTTAACCATTGCACGGTGTTTGTTTTTTCAGACAAACTTACAAGTTATTTTATGAAGTCTCAAAAGATATTTCACTAAGATTTATATGAAAATACTTTAAAAGCAGCGATTGAGCACAAGTGAATTAACATTTAAAAGATAATTGACTCATTTATAATTTTAAAATACTTAATATGAACATTTTTAATAGTTTTTCTCCTTATAGATAGTCCATTTAGTCCTATAATTTTTGATGATTTATTATTTGATTTTTTCATTTGAGTTTGCTAATGAGATTTGTTACCATTTCTGCTTCTAAATAGTGAGCAACAATGTACGAGAAAATATCTTTGGAAATACATTTTACATCTAGTTATTGTGTTGATATTTAAAATTTCTAATACTATCTTAATGGAATCCCTTGGGATTCTTAAGTTACAAAAATATGCTATCTCTAAAAGTTGAATGAAATTATTGCTTTGGTATGTCTTATTACATTGGCCAGAAAATTAAGGCCACAACTTAAAAATAGTAAAAAGAGTAGGCATCCAATTTTGTTTATTTTAATGACACTATCAGCATAGTTTGATAATAAATGACTTATGTATATTGCAAGAATTTAAATGTAGTTTTTAAATCATCATTGTATTAATCACAAAGTTAGCAAGAATGATCAGTTTCATTTCTTGGGCACCTAGCTATGAGTTGTGTAGGAAAAACTATTTTTATAGAATCAAAATATTATCAAAACTGTTAATAACCTTTAATACTACATTAAATATCAAATCGCAGAATTATCCAAAATCTCCAAAATTACCCAAAATCAAAACTAGCTTTGAAGTAGTTTATATCAAGCATACCTTAAACTGCAACATATCATTTTTGTGATATTTCACCTCCACACGAAGAGTTGAGATGGGGTCAGAAGGTAACTTTATTCTAGCATTTGCAGTATTTAGTTGGAGGTCAGCTGTTACACCCATTGATGAATAGTTAGTTGACGTGACTGAATAAGAGTTATCTTGTCTGGGAAAGTAACAGTCAGGTGCTTTGGATAGAGAAGAATCCTAAAAACACAATGCATGCTCATTGCCAGAAATTATAAGCCTTGTAATATTCGACTCTTTAAAATTATATTGATGTTTAGTCACACATTGTATGGTTTACAAGTTTCATTAATAAAAAAATGAAATAACAGTCATAACACAAAATATATTATATGTAATTTGGGATCCCATGTACTAAAATTTTATGCAAAATATTTGCATTTACGCTCTACAGAAAGAACGGTAGAGCAGAAGGATCAAATGTCGTACTTTTTTAACTCAAAAAATAGCATTAAATTGTGTTGTCTGCAAAAGCAAGTATATTACTAATACATTTTGATTCCATGTTTGTTCTTACTCTTCATATTGATTATTGATTATTGTGTATAAAAATGGCATTATGACATGCCTCTAAAGGGCAAGTGATAGAGTCCTTTTACTTATAATGAAACTCTCAATCCTTCTTTTTTTAACTTACTGCTATACCGGTCAATTACATCCTGACCTGGATTTGAAATAGGAACCCTGGCCAAGAATCATAGTTGATTGGTTTACATAGAAGTGAGAGACAAAACCTAAGAAAAAGAATTATAAACTGTGGCATTGATGGCTAGTTTCCTTACCACAATCCATTCTCCCTATCTTCCTTGATTATTATTATATTTTGCAGAGAAATATATTTATCTACATTTCCAATTTCCTTTTAAAGAAATTGTATAAGTCCTCCTAAAAGCTCTTTAAAAGAAAGGGGCCTAAGCTGACTAAATTGAGATACTCTGTTTGACTCACCTTCTTGAGGGCGTACTGTCTGGCTTCTATCTAAAGTGAACAATTTCATCTGTGTACCCTCTCTCAGGCCTCCTTACCTATAAAAATATTTCTCCCTCAAATCTCCACCCTCTCTTGCATCAAAAATATTGCATTCATTATGTTATTTTTAACAGCATAAACTGATTTTATTCATCTCATTTTTTTGAAGTAAATGTCACTTCAGTAGTTTCTCTGACTACTGTTCTATTTTTTCTGCTTTATTTACAGCAAAACATAGAAGTGTTCATCATACTCACTATCTCTAATGTGTCCCTGATTTTCTCTTGAACTCACTCTAACCAGGCTTTTATCCCTAGGACTACATCTAATGTTTGCATGCCGAAGTTACCAAAGACTTCCATGTTGCCAAATCCACATGTCAGTTTCCAGTCCTTATCTTACTAACAAACAACTGGCATAGTTGATCATTTCTTCCATTCTAAATGCTTTGTTCAATTGGCTTCCAGGACCCAGCATGTTATTTCCAACCCAATACTTGAGCTGTTCTTTCTAAGCCTCCTTTGTCATTTCCTCCTTGGCTAAAGTTTGTAATCGCCCAGGGTTTAGTCTTTGAATACTTCTCATCTATTCAAGCTTATTTTGTTGATGATATCATCCTACCACATGGACTTAAACAAAGAAATGAAAGTCTCAGCAGTAGAATCATACAGGCAGAGGAAAGAACTTCAAAGCTTGAAGATGAGGTTTTTGAATTAACTCAGTCCAATAAAGACAAAGAAAAAAGAATAAGACAATATGAACACAGCCTCCAAGAAGTATGGGATTATGTTAAATGACCAAACCTAAGAATAGTTATTGTTACTGAGGAAGAAGGGAAATCTAAAAATTTGGAAAACATATTTGAAGGAATAATCAAGGAAAACTTCTCTGACCTTGCTAGAGACCTAGACATCCAAATAAAAGAGAGCTCAAAGAATACCTAGGATATTCACTGTGAAAATATCGTTGCCTAGACACATTGTTGCCAGGTTATGTAAAGTTAAGATGAAGGAAAAAATCTTAAGAGCTATGAGGCAAAAACACCAGGTAACCTACAAAAGAAAACAGCATGTTTCTCAGCAGAAACCCTACAAGCTAGAAGGGATTGGGGCTCTATCTTCAGCCTCCGTAAACAAAACAATTATCAGCCAAGACTTTTGTATCCAGGGACACTTAGGTTCACAAATGAAGGAAAGATATAACCTTTTTTCAGACAAACAAATGCTGAGAGAATTGACTACTACCAGAATCAGTACTACGGTAAGTGCTAAAGGGAGCTCTAAATCTTGAAACAAATCCTAGAAATACATCAAAACAGAACCTCTTTAAAGCATAAATCTCACAGGACCTATAAAACATAATTTAAAAACACAAGGTATACAGGCAAAAAATAGCACAATGAATGGAATGGTACTTCACATCTCAATACTGATATTGAAAGTAAATGGTCTAAATGCTCCACTTTAAGGACACAGAATAACAGAATTGATAACTATTCACCAACCATCTGCTGCCTCCAAGAGACTTACCTAACACATAAGGACTCACATAAACTCAAGATAAAGGGATGGGAACAAAAACATTCCATGTAAATGAACACCAAAAGCCAGCAGAAGTATCTATTTTTTATATCAGACAAAACAAACTTTAAAGCAACAGCAGTTAAAAAGGCTAAGATGGACATTATACAATGATAAAAAGCCTTATCCAACAGGAAAATATCACAGTCCTAAATATATATGCACCTAACACTGGAGCTCCCAAATTTATAAAACAATTGCCAGTAGACCTAAGAATTGAGGGAATCAGCAACACAGTAATAGTGGAAGACTTCAATACTCCACTGATACTACTAGAAAGATCATCAAGATGGAAAGTCAACAAAGTAACAATGGATTTAAACCATACCCTGGAAAAAATGGACTTAACAGATATTTACAGAACATTCTACCCAACAACCACAGAAGATGCATTCTATTCATCAGCACATGGAACTTTCTCCAAGATAGACCATATGATAGGCCACAAAATGAGCCTCAATAAATTTAAGAAAATTGAAATTATATCAAGCACTCTCTCAGACCACAGTAAAATAATACTGGAAACAACTCTGAAAGGAACCTTCAAAACCATGAAAATACATGGAAATTAAATAATCTGCTCCTGAATGATCATTGGGTTAAAAATAAAACCAAGATGAAAATTTAAAAAGTCTTTTAACTGAATGACGATAGTGACACAGCCTATCAAAAGCTCTTGGATACAGCAAAGACAGTACTAATAAGAAAGTTCATAGCCCTAAATGCCTACACCAAAAAGTCTAAAAGAGCACACATAGACAATCTAAGGTCACACCTCAAGGAACTAGAGAAACAAGAACAAACCAAACCAAAACTCAGAAGAAGAAAGGAAATAACCAAGATCAGAACATTACTAAGTGAAATTGAAACAAACAAAAAAATACAAAAGACAACTGAAACAAAAGTCTAGTTCTTTGAAAAGATAAATAAAATTGACCAATCATTTGCAAGATTGATCAAGAAAAAGAGAGAGAAAGTCCAAATAAGCTCAGTTAGAAATGAAATGGGAGATACTACAACTGACATCACAGAAATACAAAAGATCATTCAAGGCTACTATGAACACCTTTACACACAAATTAGATAACCTAGAAGAGATGGATACATTCCTGGAAAGACACAACCTTAAATCAGGAAGAATTAGATAACCTGAGCAGACCAATAACAAGAAGTGAGACTAAAATGATAGTAAACAATTACCAACAAAAAAAATGTCCAGGATCACATGTATTCATAGCAGAATTTTACCAGTTATCCAAAGAATAATTGGTACCAATCCTATCGACATTATTCCACAAGACAGAAAAAGGGGGAACCCCCCCTAAATTGTTCTATAAAGTCAGTATCACCCTAATATCAAAACCAGAAAAAGACATAACCAAAAAAGTAAACTACAGACCAATATCCCTGAGGAACATAGATGCAAGAATCCTTAACAAAATGCTAGCTAACCAAATTCAACAACATATCACAAAGATAGCCCAACATGATCAAGTGGGTTTCATACTAGGGATACAGGGATGGTTTAACATATGCAAGTCAATGAATGTGATACACAACATAAACAGAATTAAAAATAAAAATCACAGGATCCTAGTACAGCATTCCATTTTGATTAAAACTCTCAGTAAAATCAACAAACAAGGGTCATACCTCAATGTAATAAAAACCATGTGACAAACCCACAGCCAACATAATACTGAATGGGGAAAAATTGAAAGCATTCTCTCTAAGAACTGGAACAAGACAGAGATGGCCATTCTCACTTATTTTCAGCATAGTACTGGAAGTCCTAGCAAGAGCAATCAGACAAGAGAAAGAAAGAAAGGGCATCTAAATCAGTAAAGGGAAGTCAAACTGTCGCTATTTGCTGATGATATGATCATGTACCTAGAAAACCCTAAAGCCTCCTCCAAAAAGCCCCTAGAACTGATAAAATAGTTCAGCAAAATTTTCGGATACAAAATTAGTGTGCAGAAATCGATAGCTCTTCTATAAACTAAAAAGAACCAAGTTGAGAATCAAATCAAGAACTCAACCCGTTTTACAATAGCTCCATAAATAAAATAAAATAAAATAAAATAAAATAAAATAAAATAAAATAAAATAAAATAAAATAAGATAAAATACTTAGGAGTATACCTAACCAAGGAAGTGAAAGACCACTACAAGGAAAACTACAAACACTGCTGAAAGAAATCATATATGACACAAACAAATGGAAACACATCCCATGCTCATTGATGGTTAGAAAGAATATTGTGAAAATGACCATACTGCTGAAACAATATGCAGATTCAACACAATTCCCATCAAAACACCATCATTATTCTTCACTGAACTAGAAAAAACAATCCTAAAATTCATATGGAATCAAAAAAGACCATGCATAGTCAAAGTGAGAATAAGCAAAAAGAACAAATCTGGAGGCATCATATTGCCTAATTTCAAACTATACTATAAAGCCATAGTCACCAAAATAGCATGGTACTATATAAAAATAATCACACAGACCAATGGAACAGAATAGAGAACCCAGAAATAAACCCTGATATCTACAGCCACCTGATCTTTGACAAAGCAGACAAAAACATAAAGTGGGGAAAGGACATCCTATTCAACAAATGGTGCCATAATAATTGGCAAGCCACATGCAAGAGAATAAAACTAGATTTTCAACTCTCACCTTATACAAAAATCCACTCAAGGCAGATTAAGGACTTAAATCTAAGACCAGAAACTACACAAATTCTAGAAGATAGCACTGTAGACATTGGCTCAGGCAAGGATTTGATGACCAAGAAACAAAAGCAAATGCAATGAAAACAAATATAAACAGCTGGGACTTAATTAAACTAAAGAACTTTTGCAGTGCAAAAGGAACAGTCAGCAGAGTAAACAGACAACCCACAGAGTGGGAGAAAATCTTCACCATCTACACATCTGACAAAGAACGAATATCCAGAATCTACAACAAGTTCAAACAATTTCCCAGGAAAAACAAACAAGCAATCCCTTCAAAAAGTGAGCTAAGGGCATGAATAGACAATTCTCAAAACAAAATATGAACAAATGGCCAACAAACATATGAACAAATGATCGGCATCACTAATGATCAGGTAAATGCAAATCAAAACAACAATGTGATACCACGTTCCTACTGAAAGAATGGCCATAATCAAAAAATCAAAAAATAATAGATGTTGGCATGGATTCAGTGAAAAGGGGACACTTCTACACTGATGGTGGGAATGTAAACTAGTACAACCACTATGGAAAAGAGTGTGGAGATTCCTTAAAGAATTAAAAGCAGTACCACCATTTGTTCCAGCAATCCCACTACTGAGTATCCACCCAGAGGAAAAGAAGTAATTATACAAAAAAGATACTTGCAAGTGCATGTTTATAGCAGCACAATTTGCAATTGCAAAAATGTGGAACCAAACCAAATGTTCATCAATCAATAAGCAGATAAAAAAACTGTGATATGTGTGTGTGTGTATATATATATTTATATATAGTTATATATAGTTTTATATATATATAACATTAGCATTATATATAACATTATATAGATTTAACATTATATATATATCACATTCAAAGTATGTAATGGGAAAGATAAAATTTCACATGTTCATGTTTAGAAGCTATTTATGCTTTAGTAAGATGAATTGTTCCCACCTGTCCTTCATTTTTGTTTTGATAAAGTTAGCATACTTTGAATGTAAAGGGGAATGAATGTGAATCTGGCTGAAGAGAGGCAACTTAAAGAGAAGGTTCAGAGAAATGAACTTCACCATTTGATTTCTGTTGATTTTAAAATCGTTTCTCCTCTTCACTTTTTCTCTTCTTATATTCTTCCCTATTCTTCATTAGTGATACAGATGATGCTGTTTTAACAATTAATGCAGAGAAATCGGGATAATTTCTCTGGAGGCAGAGATTCTATGCATCTCTTTATATAAATGTAAATGTCTCTGGAAAATTGCTGACAGATATGTCTTGACTCATCCCAGTGATATAACAAACGCATTTAATTATTTAGTTATATTAAATAAATGTAGCTGTTGACAAAACTCAATGATGTAATGAAAAGTTCAGAATTTGAAAAACAGGCATAGCAAGAGGGAATGTTTTACAATGTCCTTCCTGTGACATTGGTAAAAACACCTGCCACCCTCAGCCATCATTATTTTGTTAAAATGAAAGTCAAAATAACTGGCCAGAGATTACCATCCTTAGTGGAAGAGAACTAGCCCTCTACTCAACATTATATATCTTAATAACTTGAGACAATGATTTTGAAATAGTATCCACTACTGGCATATCTTATCCAAATGAGCAAATCCGCTACAGTCAACATCAAGTAAAGTGTAACAGACAGTATTATTTTATCAAGTAAAGTTACACTATCCGAAGTGCCTGGAAAGCAATTTACGCATCAATTCAGCCTGGCATTTACTAAGATATGTCTTTGGATAATTAATTAAAATAAAAGTGAACTGCCTGTCAGAGACGCTAACTTCACATTCCACATGATTATCTAATTGAATTTAGTTTATATGCTGAAGATTTAAAATTATAACATGTAAAATTTTCATTGAAATGTTTATGTGAAAACCATATCATGAGTAATAATTAAAATTATTATTACCGTTTTCCATACACAGCCACGTTGTATGCACTTTTCTTCAGTTGCCAAATCTGCATCTGGATAACAATTAAATGTTTCATTTTCTGAGAAAATTTGATTCCATTGAACACGAAAGTTTCTTCCAAGGTTAAGGTTGAGATCTGCAATTAGGAGAACCTTTGAAGACAAACAAACAAAACACACAAACAAACAAAACTTTTAAACACTGTATCTGATCATCGGATGATTTTTTTTAAAAATTTACATTTTATGAAATGTGGCAATTACGGCAATTCTTCAAATTAAATCATTAGTAGTTTTGATAAAATTCTTTAAAAATAGAATTATATATATGCAATATATGTGTGTATTTATGTATATCTACATATATGTACATATGTATGTGCACACACATACAATTATGTCTATAATTGGGATTTCAAAATCATGTTTGATTATTTCTTATATACTTTGGGAATAATGTGAGCAAATTTATCCCACACCCAGATTTTCATCTGCATAACTTACTTTTTGATATCTACCAAACATAGTTGCAAAACTTTACTTTGAGTAATGAAAGTTCATATAAAGATCAATCTATGCACAGCAGAATTATAAAGGTATACTACTAGTGTTTATGTATATATATTTATAAACATAAAAGTAGATATACAAATAGCCACAGACAGACCTTTATATTGTATACCTAACCAATATAATTATTTTTTATTATTCCCTCTTTTAATCTCTATTACAGTCATAAAGTTCACAATAAGCTTGTATTCCTTAATTTATATCAATTTGTTCTTATAGTGCTATGAAATATAAATCATAATATACCTACTAAATAAAAAATAATTAATCAGTACATATTTTCTGAAAATAAATAATTGAAAAGCCCTGGGCCAGAGGTCTTATGAGTTAGACAAAAATATTATAAGACAATGTTCTATATCTTAAACAATTCAGAAATTATTTATGGCAATATTACTAATAATTTGGTATTATATAAATGGAGAAAAGGTAAATGACAAAAATAATTGCTTTCATGTTTTTAAATATTACAGTCTCTTTTTTAATACATCAATCTACTACCCAAAGCAACATTATAATTGAAATATTACATTTTGCAAATGAGAAAACTAAAATAATGAGAGATTTATTTAATGTGTTTAGAAGCAGAGATAGCAGAGCTGGAATCTGTGCATCCAATAACACTGCATCCAATTTTGTTATTCTTTTTCCCTCTATGCTACAACTATCAAAAGAAACAAAAATCACAACACAAGGAAGGCTTTCTACAGGAGAAGAAAAGTGTAAACGCAAAATTGAAGTCAGAAGAGTACAAGATATATTTTGAGGACAATGACACCTCACTAAAAAAGAAACAGGAGAAAGACTAAAGAAATGAACTGAACCAATATATTAAAGAGTCTAAAGCAGCTAAAACATTTGGAATTTCTTTTGTGTGCAATAGGTAGGTTAGAGTTCAGATTAGAAGAATTTTATGGAAAATATTAGCAAGGCCCATATAACTAGTATGCATGAGAAAATAAAATAGGGAGAGAGAAATTGCAAGGAGTTCCCTTCATGTTGATATCTAAATACAAATTGGATTGACGTAAATTGGAATATTATACAGAAAAAGTGAAGAAAAAATGAAGGGAGGAAGGAAGCAATGAAGAGAAGGAAGGAAGACACACTGAGAGGAGAAATATAAGTGCCCGAATGGTTATATAATATTAAATGTGAGATTATATGATAGCTAAAATATTTTAAAAGATTGTAATTACCTGGTTAGAAGCATCATAAGTGAAATTGGAATGAGCGCTCATTGGTTGATTATTTTCTGCCACTGTAACTTCTGTAACAATGTCTGTCAACCCAAGGATTTTTACAGTCTGAAATGCTAAGGTAGTTCCTTCCTGATATGATGAATGTGTGCACACAATATCTAATGTGTTCTGGGAAAAATAGTATATGATATTATATATTAGGTCATCAGATACAAACCCAAACCTGAAATAACAATACCGATACGACACAGCAAAGAAAGGTCATCATCTACACCTCTATTCCTTCCAGCTCTCCTCATCCAAGTAGCACATAGAAATATACTCATTAATAACTATTTTAATTTATATATATATGCCAGAAAATTTTACTTTCAGAGACAACCTTAATTACTCATATGCAACACATATATACTCATTCTTATTCTAGTCCTAACATTGATGAAGAATAATTTAACTTTGCCAAAAGAGAATGTATGAAAAAACCAACATCTATGAAAAAAATCATTTCTATTAACTATTCAAAATTTAATAAACCAAAATCCACACCAATTATTACTGTGACTAATTCATTGAAATATTTTCAAATATGTTGAAATTGTTTTCCTAGGGCATGTTGCCTAAAACCAAACATAACATGTTAAGAACTCTAAAGGTTTCTTTGCATCAATTACATGATCACAAACTTTATAAAATTTTAAGATAATTTGTTTATAATTTAACAATTTAAATATAACAATTTAAATGAACAACTTATTTTATTACATTCCATTAAAATCTGTAGGCAAATGTGAACACCTTTTCCAAAATATTCACCATAAAAGAATAACCTAGGCATGAACAAATTATACATTTAGCTACAAGTACAAAGAGAATACTTACATTAGAAACTGAAAATGTATATAATATGTAGCTGCCATTTTGTATGGTATCTGAAATGAAATATATCATGATCAGTACAAAATGTAATGTTAAATTCTCTGCTCTGGTTTTACACTTATATAACACTTAAGAAATTTGAACAAATTAGATTCTGTTTATTATTGAAGCATCTCAAACATTTTCTCTGTAAATGTTTTAATTTCCTCTAACTAATACTATAATGGTATTTTATTTTCACAGCGAGTAGAGGTAATGAATGCATATTTGCCTTGTTTACTTTTTCAAAGACTACCAAGATATTTCTGGAAATTAAGAGAAAGCCAAACTTACAGTAAATAATATATAATTAAAAATGTATTGTTTTGAATGATATTCTCTCCCTTGTAAACCTCATAACAGTAAATTTTTCTTAGGAAGACATGGCATACTATAATATATTTTGCATCTTTATGTTTATTTTTTTCTATTATTTTTGTATTCAAGGAAAAAATAAATCTGGAGACACGTTGAAGACTGAAATAAACCTTAACCTATAATTGAAATAAACTTTAATGAGGAAGATGGATGAATACAATGATTCTGTACCATATATAATAAAACTTTTATTCAACATATCTCTTTAAAAGAAAAACTGAAGACAAGGAGTGAAGTAGTTTGTCATAAACAGTGTTAAAATATAAAGGGAATCCTAGGATTCATATAATATACTTTCCACAACATTAATTTGCTTAAAATTTTAGTCTTAGGAAATAAAATTATATTCAGAACCTGAACTGAAGATCACTTTACTGTCTCCATGTTTGCTTACAAATCCATTAATCAGAATTCTGGTTTTCTTTCACTTTTTAAATGCACATAGCTACATAGGTAGCATATTAGATAACTGACTGAATTATATTATTCATATTCTTAGCTACTTACCTATATGAAAGTAAGCTATTCATATGCATCTTTATCAGTAGACAGTATGTATTTGGAATATTTATATAATTTGAGTAATAGGAATAATCTTATAATTGTACCACACATGCTATCAATGGAGGTATCATCTCAACGACATTGTTTGATTGATAACTACAAATAATGTAAGTTCAGCTGAAATCCACTTTTATAAAACTTCCATGCAGGAAGTTTTTTGGCTTACTACATAAGCCAGAGAATAGGTTTGGAATCTAATCTCATGGAAGGGCTCACCCTAGTGTGTTTACACCCCAGGGTATTTTAAGAAAGAGCAAGAAGGTTGGTGTGCTGAAATTGAGAAATAGAAAGCAATACAGGATAATAGATGTGTGAGTGCGCGTTTGGGGTGTGCGTGTGCACATATGCAAATGTTAAAGCACAAACCATAAGCTCTCTAGGTCTCCATAAAACATTGTCTCCTAATTGAGTAAAATGGAGGATCATTAGAGGGTTTTGAGAAGAGATGCAATTACTGGAATCACCTTTTTAAATGATTATCTGCTGGATTGTAATAAAATTTAAAAAGGGATTGAAAACAGCTACAGGGCAATTAGGAAGCTATTGTCCTAAATTAACATGAAAGATGGTGGTGATAGTGGTGGAACTGATGAGAAGATTCAGATCAAAGTAGAACCAATGAAATCCTTAGGTTGTGAGAGAGAATAGCCCATTCCAAGGTGTTGGCATCTGGAGCAATGAAGTTACCATCAACTGACAAAGGGAACACCATAGGTGGAACAGATATATGGTGGTAAGATCTAAGTTCTATCTTGGAAGATTATGTTTTAGATTTTTATTAGACAAACAAATAGAGAAGTACATAGAAGACTGATTTGGAGATATAAATTTGGAAGTCAGGTAAATGGTATAAAACACTACATTTATCAAGGAAAGGACTACTGGTAAAGAATAATAATAATTGAAAGACAGAGGACATTTATGATTAGTAGCTGTTAATGATATAAGTAATTCACAGCTTGCATTGAGAAAATCACCCAGAGAACAGATCTTTCCTTCGAATAAGTTTGATTGCTAATGCATTGATATAAGGCCATAAATAAATGTAATTTGTTTAAATGAATGTTAACTGAGGGTGAATATAAGTCTTAGGAGAGAATGACAGAATCCTGTGGTAATTTTTAAATACATACATTTTCAAAAATACATAAATATTCACGTTTCATATACATTTAAAGGCATTTAGGATAGTCTTTTTTTTCTTGTTGTCCTTCTTATAATTATCTGTAACTCTTTAAAATTTGTACAAGGATATTCCTTAATACACCTAAGAAGTAGTTAATTAAAATAGAAGACAAATTATAATCTTTTGTACTCATATATAAAACACATACCTAACAGCCCACTATTAGAAGAAATGAGATTTTTCTAAAAGGTTTCTAAAAATTAATAAGGAAAATTGTAAGTGAATAGTTAAATACAAATAGGCAAACTTACTATGGCATAATTAGAAATACCATAGCATAAAATTACTTTTAAATATTTCCTTTGGTATACTGAATTCTCAAGGTTGGAGCTCAAGAAATACAATGAAAGATAATAAGGAAAATAAATTGTAAACAATTGATACAATGACATTCTTACCTCAAATAATTTGACATTAAATAACTAAATCTTTAAATATTGGTTTTATTTTCTGTTTACAGTGACAAAATTTTAGTTATAATCACTATCTTACTTCAAAACAGTTGAAAATATAATGCAATTTGTATACCTGAGAATTTATTGACTATTTTAATCTAAAAGATAAAGATAGATTAAAAAGTCTTGTCAAAGACTTACAACAAACAAAAGCACAAAACTGGATATTTTAGTTAAATATAGATAAAGCAAATAACAATGGTAAAATGTTTAAAGTAACCTAAAAACCTGCAACAGATAAAAATTTAGGAATTAAAAATAAAAATTGTGATATTTTAAAAATGAAAAAACCTATATCAATAAAGCCAAAACTTCCAGTTATCAGAATGAACATTTAAAGCATATCGCTTTCAGACTAACCTTTAGTTTCTCCATCATCCCAGAAAAAGTCTCCTTTGGCTGAGTTGTTTTCATCTAATGCAACTATAAGTCCTAGAGGATTCTTACGGCTATTAAGAAAAATTAGATGCATATATGATTCAAAATAAATGCGTAATAATACAATATCCTATAAAGAAGTCCACTTCGACCTGTCTGTTTTATGGGTCCTGAATTCAGTAAGAAAATTGACATCAATAAATTTGTATTTATATGTATTAATAATTTACTGATATCAATGTTCTTATGTGATTACAGAAGTACTTTATACATGTAGAAAATGAGTCAAAAGAATAAATGTAGTAAATGCAATAATGGATTTTTTGAAGGCTGAGATACTTGCAAAATTGAAACAATGTAATATTTTCATTCAAATAAGAAAAATTAAATGTGTCATATTAAGGCTCAACTCAACCTGTATAACCCTAAATCTCAATGTCTACTTCTTATGAGCAAAAAAGTTAAAAAATGATTAAAATTTAAAAAAATGTTTAGTGGAATCTGTAAGAATATTATAAATGAAATTATTACAATAGGAGAAATGAGATGTAGTCAAGAAATATGTTTGTTTTTAAGTTACATTTTACCATAAAATATTATCTCCAAGGCTATACAGTCCAGGCATGTCCTGGACTGTATAGGATGTATTCCTTCCAGTATGCATTTACCAAGTTATATGTTGCTGTTGGTCATTACAGCTCTCATGTATAACAATTTTTTGAGAACATACTCGTGAATCAGTTACATTCTAGAATGCCAAAACAGTTAAATTACTAATTACTAATGCGTATCGCTAACATACTACATAAAAGAAAATAATAAATAACATAATTTCAGATATTCTTAATGTTATGAAGAAAATACAGTAGGGTAAGGAATAAAGAGTAACTTCCTGTTGGGTTGTGGCAGAATAGGGAAAAGTATGTGAATTCAATACGGCACTTTCTGTGCTCTTTGTACTCAGAATGAATGATGCGAAATGGAGCACCAGCATTTTCAAGTTTCTTTTACTTTTAGAAAATATTTCTGAGATTTACACTTAGTGAGCAATTTAGTTTCTCTCTTGCTCTTTACCTAACATGAAATATCCCATTCATTTATGAACTTAAAGCATTTTAGCAGAAAAAAATACATTGAGATTTATTTATGTATGGAAATTCAAATATGTAAAAATTAACAAATACTTTACTCAATTATATAACAAACATTCACATTTTGTATATTTATTAAGAATCAAATATTATCTTTAATTATGCTAATGTGAGTAAATTTTTGATACAGGAAGTTAACTTCTAAGTAAATAAGAAATTTTGAAAATCAAGATATTTATAATAATATAAATAATTTCATTCTTTTTATAACTACAATGGTTATAGTTCAGTATTACCTCTGTGTGTCAAATATCTGCAGGTGAAGAAGCTAAATATTATCTCTGATTCTTAACACAAATATGAAATATTAGAATTTGAATTTTATTTTAGATTTCAGTTAATGATTTTTCATTTTACCTTGCTGTTGTTGTTACATCTGGTTCTTGAATGGGGATGATATAACCTCCTCTAAGATGTAATCCTATTTTGTCTGCTGGAAGATACATATCAACACGTTGTTTCCTCCATGGCCTTTTTGCACCCTAATAATTGGAAGATTACAAATATTGTTAGTATTATTGAAGACTTTAAACTCTATTTCACAAGAATTAAAAGGTATGTATAGAAACAATTTTTATTATGAGCAATTTATGTCATCCAAATGAATACAATATATTGTTTTCTAACTTTAGGAGGTTCCCCCCCCCCCCCCCCCAGTTTGCTGAACAAAGCAGAGGAAAAGTAAGTTCACTTTCTCAAAAATAAAAAAAAAAATCAACATAAAGAGACTCATTTTCTTTCTACAATAATTAACAGTACTTTAATTAGCTTTTTTATTCTTTGTTATGGTTTAAAGTTAACTATGTCTTTAGGAAGGATTTTCTTAAAATCATTATTCCTGTAAAAATAAGGGTATACTTAGCCAATGTAAGTGATTTACGAAATAATATCATTTAAAATAAATAGTGCTCAAAAAGTCTTGTTTAGTTGAAAAAAACGGATGGTGTATATGAGTGCTCTTATTTTGCCTTTTCAAGGTTGAAATAAAAGCCTTTTTCAAATATTTGAATATACCATATAAAAACAAATATGTAAGATTAGCTCAGTACTCAAGTCTTCTGGCAATAAGATAAATATGTAAAATAAGAAAAAGCATTAAAATAAGTTGCCACTCCTTCCTAAATTACTGCTAACTTTTATTTCCAAAATTTAAAAATAAATAATATCTATTTATGCTAAATAATATAACTTCATATAAGAGTCTAGCTCATGCGCAAAAAAGGGTATACTTATAAAAATTTTGACATATTTCTAAAGTCTGAAATTATTATTTTTTATAGTTAATAACAGAAATTCTAAAAATATGTATGCTATATAGTTAAGTTTCTATGGAATTAAGTTTCTATGTAGAAATGTTTAAAAATAGACTTGTGAGTCCATTAGTATGTTAAGATTACTTACAGATTCATAATCATACCAAACAGCATCAGGGATGTAAGCACTCACGGTATCTGCTCCCTAAAATAAAGAAAGATAATATGTATTTTTTTTAATTTCAATTTTTAACAGAGAGGATCTTGTCAAATATTAAGTTGGGTTTTCATAGTCAAGGGAAAAAAACTTTATGTTGTTACACTCCGATATTTCCTATAGATAATAATCAAAATGCTATTTTATTAGCTTTAGACAATATATTGTAAAACTTATAAAAGCAAAGAGGTAAATAAATAATTTAGATAGCAATTAAAATAATGTATGCATATATGTGTACTGTTATAAACCACATGGTCATTGTGAATGTGAATATGTTTATTTCTGTTTACGTCCATGGACACATACACCTTTTAAAAATAGGTAATAATTACCAACTCACTCCAGTGTTTCTCCAACATTTTCATCTGATCAGCAAGTTTTCCAGTTCCTCTTTATTTACAATTGAGCACAATTTCAACGTATATGTCTACTTAAATTAGAGCCCTTTGTTATTATGATTTGATTTTGATTCTATAATATAGTTTTTTTTTTTTTTCAGAAGAACAATAACTTCATATAATTTTCTTGTCCCCAGTTAGATATTACATATTTGGTAAGCATAGATCTACTTAATATTTTTATAACTTTTTGAAATTTGTTTCACATCATAGAATTCCAACTTGATATTTATCAGCTTGAAACAGTCCACTGAATATCATCTATTATTCAGATGTTTTGTAATGTAGGGTTGATTTAGTTGTACAAACTTCAGTTTAAACAATAAGGTTATTAAACCTGTAGAGCCTACCTGTTTTAGAACAGGAGTAATAAGTAATGCAGGGCCCCACAAAAACTCAGTGTCCTCAATCCAGCTGTTCATATCTTCATAAAACCTAAGAACAATGACAATGTTTAAAGTATAATAATGAAAAAATAAATTTAGCCAAATTCCTGATTCAGTTTATCTTTTCAGTTTTTTTCCTGGGAATTGTTATTATCTTGAATTGTGCTTGTTTCAGATGACATTTTGAATCCATAGTTCTTACATCCTTTATTATTCATCTGACATTCAAGAAGGAAGGGAGGAAGGGAAGAAGGAAGAAGCGGGGAGTAGAAGAGGGAGAAAGGAAAAGGAAGAAATGAAGGAAAGAAGGAGAGGAGGGAGGATAGGAGGAAGGGGCGAGAACAAAGGGAAGGAAAGTAGAAAGCAGGGAGGGAAGGGAAGAAGGAAGGAAGAAAAGAGAAGGAGAAAATAAATTTATCTCGTACTCAGAAAAATCTATCATAGATGACAAAGGTTACCTTTCATTTATACAAAAACTCTTCTGTTTAATTATTTTCTCCTATAAGATAGATTCATAAAGTATAGGAAATCTTTCATATTCTACTTTCTTCACCTAGAGCTTTGTCATGGTAAACTCTAGTTTTTACCTGAATTTAAAAGGATCTTTAAGTCATTCATCACAGAAAGGCCCCACTCCGGTCAAAGATATATGCAAAGATAAACACAATTTCCCTTTTTAGTAAGTACTATACTGTACTCTTGATCTATGTTTAGTTTATTGTTTCAATATTTACTTGATATATTTTTAATAATATTATGCTTAATCTTTCTTACTGATGTAATATCCTAACATGTTTTATATCTTTTCCTTGTAAGTTCTATTTAATTCTCTCATTTCTACCTAAATATTATCCAATTAATTATATTTACTAGTATCATTATATAACTCTTCAAATCATCTATACAAATGTAAAAACAAGCATCAGAAATTTAATTTATATCTTGATTTATCTCTATTAATCTTTTCTGTATAAGTTTGAAAATACTTTAAAAAGTATTATTATAATTATTGTACGTAGTACTCACTCATGAAGAACTGGTCTTGCTACTGTTTCTCCAAACACATGGGCTTTATAAAACAGAGTGTAGAGGAAGGGTAATAAGGTGTAGCGAATAGTTAAATAGTGCCTTGATGATTTAACCAAAAGCGAATCCTGCCCAAAAAATGCAGGATCCTGATGCTGTGAGATAGAAAGAGAAATTAAAATAAGAAAGCTAAAATATGAGTGAAAATTAAAGTAGAAGCATTTTAATCTGCTTTTTAAAGCAAACTACATAAATTTCAGCTTGTTTATGAGAAATTAAAATTATTCCAATTTCATCATCAAAGTGTTTGAATGAATATGTCTAGGTTTTGTTATATGTTTTAATTAAACTTAATTTTGAAGTGGACAATTCAACATATTTGAAGTATTGCCACAGAAAAAATAAATATATTTTAACAAAAGAGAATTTTTATCTTGTAATTGTGGTAGAATGAATTATTGGCATCAATGTTTCATGCTTCCTTGTACCCACAGCCTTTATCATGGAATGTTGTAATCCCTACCAGTGAAGGTAGAGTGTACCTACCCACGCTTTGACTTGGCGCTCAGTCATGCAATCCACTCTGGCCGATAGGATGTTATTATATGTGATACATTAAAGCAGAGGCTTGAAATAGACTTGCCTAAGGACTTACTGTCTTGTGCCATTGCTATTAGAATTATCACAGGTAGGTTGCTGGCTCAGGAACACAGGGAACAGAGCTACCTGGACAGCCTGTAGACTTACAATTTGAAGTGCAGTCTCTCTACTGAGCTCAGGCTAGATAAGTGACTCCTTCAGCCAAGTAACACTGATATGGACAAGCCGGTTTAGGTCTCCTGCTTTTGGTAACAATATTAACTGAAGACCTCAACTACTGTCTCCCTGAATCCACTATTAAGTTTGCACTGAAAACCATGTTTCTCAATGCTGCTCCCAGCCTTGAATGAGCATAGTAAGAACACGATGCAGACTCATTCCTGGGAGATGCAAGAAAGGTCAGTGGTCAGCTTTCCCTTAAGGAAAGGGACTCACCTGACTGAAACTTCGTTAGAACTAGACTGCAATTTTGAATTCTCCCTCCCAAACCACCTTCCCTTCACCTTCATCAAGTTCAGACCTGCACCGTGGTCTGCAGGCTCTCCCCACTTTCTCATGCTCACTCTCTTTGTCATTCACATTATTTCACCAATAAATTTCAAAATTAATTTCTGTCTTATCATCAGCATTTTGGAGAACACAAATGAACATGGAGTGTCATGCAATTTCTATGAACATGGAGTGTCATGCAATTTCTATCAAAATCTCCCATGGATACACATTTCCTGAAAATATCATTTAGGTGTATTAAGAAGAAACTAATCTCCAATTTGTACCTTTTAATTCTTTTTGATCATGCCTCTCTCCAGGCTGAGCTCAGTAGTTGTGCCTCTTCTCAAACACAATATAAGCCCTGTATGCAACCAGTGTGTAAACATTGAATGGTTTCTTAACCAATATGTACTTAATTGACGTAATGGTTTAACTGAATTTTATTATTCTCTCTGAAAAACATGCTTATCATGATGAGCCAACAGTATCCTGAGTTCCCAGGGCTGGTAGACTAGCTTTGTACTGTCTTGCACTTCTGCTCCTACCAGTCCAAAACTGTGTTCTAAAAGTGTTAGTTTTGTTTTTGTCCATATGTATTCATTCCAGTTCTATTTATTATTGAAAGACACTGGACTGTAATTGTTTTGTGGGTATCTTTAAATTCTTGTTTCATACGAATTAAACAAAAACTCGAAATCCATTACAGTATATTATACCTTTTCTTCGTATAAAAGTTACCTGGAACTTACATTGTTAGAATCCAAGAATTCATACTCTAAAAGCTTTGGCTCTAATTTAAAATACTGGTAATCTAATACATTTGTACAGTGTATGCGTTAGTCTCAACTAAGATATTTGTGCTGTGACTACATTTCATTTCATGATTTCCTTATTTGACCATTTTTTTTTTAAATGTAAGAATATACAAAATATGTATAGGACTTGAGAAAGGGACTTCTAACAATCCTTTATAAATTATGCTGCAATCTTTCAGACCATATACTGTATAGATTTAATTTAAGGAGATTAATAAAAACTATGGTTGCGTTTTATTTCACAACATGGAGAACAAGAGGCACTTACTTCATATCCATCAGCATTATGGTTTCTGGAAAATGGATAAAATGCCCCAAGTTGCATCCATCTTCTGCAAAGCTCTTCCGTGGTTTCAGCCACAAATCCACAGATATCTGCTCCAACCTAAATAACAAATATATTTACTATTTATAATATTAAGATTCTCAAATTTGGCTAGAGCATCACACTGTATGCCTCAACTGATTAATGTGCAGTATTTACAATTTGTTTTACTCCTTTTATATGCACTTCCTTAAACTAATTTATTTTCCATTTTTGCTCCATCCTTGTCTCTAGTTGCATTATTTTACAAGTTTCCTTCATTGTCCCTTTATGCATTTTCTTTGCCTTTTGTATTTACATTTTACTCATTTTTTATTTTGATATTCTCATTAATTCATTGTAAAAGATGAAATTATTGTATTAAAATATGTTGCTTCTTAATCCCAAACTAACCTTCTTCGATCTGATTTTTCCTATTTATAGTATAATATGTAACTGTAGGAATAAAATAATAACAAACTGTGACCATGTGTTCATGTTGAGCTTTGAAATTAATTATTCCAAATAAAATTGAGCTTTGCACAATGTGTACCCATATAAAACCGCATTATCCTTATTCAAGGACTCTCCAGAAAATATTATCCTGAATTTAGTGTTTACCATTTACAAATATTTCTTTATTTTTTCCGTGTAAGTATATATGTATCTATAAACACTATATAGCATTGTTTTGCATGCTTTCTTAACTGTATAAATGACATGTTGTATGCATTGTAATGAAATTTCCTTTTTGTGTGAGATTCAGTTGTATTAATGTTGCTCTAGTTCTCCAATGTATGGGAACTCATGGCTATAAAAATTCTTCTGTGAAATTTATACACAGGCTGAACATTCCTAATCCAGAAATTCAAAATCTGAAATGCTTCAAAAAAAAAAAAAAAAAAAAACATTTTGAGTGCCAACATAATGCCAGAAGTGGAAAGTTCTATACCTGACCTCAAATGACAGGTTGCAGTCAAAACTGTTTCCTCAACAAAATCATATAAAATTACCTTCACACGATGTGTGTAAGGTGTATACGAAACATAAATTTGCTCCTTTAAGACATTTTGTTGCATATATGTAAACACTAAATTATCTGAAAATACCTGAAGTCTGAAACCTTTCTGGTCCCACATATTTTGGATAGGGGGTACTCACCCTGTATAGATATCCTTGTGAATATGTAAAAAATGTGTTCTTACTCTATGGTGTACATACACAGGATTATTTTTCTTTTTTATTTATAATGTGCATTGTATAATCAGAACTGTTTGTAACCATTTGCAAGCACTATAATAGCACATGAAGGTTCCCCTTATTCATTTTCTTGCCAATTCTTGATATTTTTCAGACAAATTTTTATCATCTTTCTTCATAAAATATATCTCACCATGGTTTTTACTTGCATTTCTCTGATTACAGGGAAGTTGAGAACTTTTTCATATTTTTATTGGGTCCCGATAGATTCCTCTTTCTGTAGAATTGCCTGTTTATATCTTTTACTTCTTTTCTATTGTTCTTAACTTTTATAGATTTAAGGTAGGCACTTCAAACTGAATATCATTTATCAACTATGTGAATTGAAAATAACATTTCGTGGTGAGTTGCTTTAATTTTTAACTTTTCAAATGGTCTTTTGAGGAACAGAAGTTTTCATTTTGCTGTAGTCAAATTTATACGTGTTTCTCATAAGATTTGTTCTCCTTGTATTCTGCTTAAGTAATTATTTCTCTAACCTGATGTCATAAATTTATCTTTCTATATTTTCTTCTGAAATGGATAAAGTTTATTTTACACACATAGGTCCCTAAATCTATCTGGAACTGTTTATTGTGCGCGATGTGAGAAATTGACACATTTTATATTGTTTCTTTCTTTTTTTTTTTTATTATACTTTAAGTTCTAGGGTACATGTGCATAACGTGCAGGTTTGTTACATATGTATACAATTGAAAAACCGTATTATCAAATTCATTCGATTGAGTCAAAAGATTAACTGAATAGAAGTTAAAACAACAAATCAAAAAACCTTAGAAAATTAACTTTTAAGAATTTTACTTATTAAATCTTGCGGGAAATTTAGGCCTGTTAATATTTAAAGAAAAAAACTACTGATTTTAAATACTAAAAACGAAAAGAACGCTAACGACTTAGTGAAAGTGCATTGAATTTAAAAAGTGGCGAAAAAGAAAAACAATAACCTAAAGAAAGACATAAGTATTAAGTTAAAGAGAAAAATTAATGGCATGGTAAGCCGAAAATCTTTAGGGCAAAAAATTTAAATATCCAAAGGCAGTTCTTTCAAAACTTTTAATAAAATAAGACTCAAGTTTTATAGCATATTTTGTTCAAAAAGGAAGCGAAAACAGGCAATTATTCGAAATGTATTTTAGTATAAGAGTGTCATTTTATTATAACACACCAATTAATAAACCATAACCAACAGTCAATATTTACAAAGCTAAACTGGTAGGACTTTTCGAAAAATCGTAAGTGATAGCTAAAGTTAAATTAAAAATATATACCCTGTTCAATAATAAGAAGAACCTCAATATAATCTTAGGAAAT